GCGAATTTACCCTTCGCAGTTTTCCACGGCACCCTCTTTCCCCACCTTCGCCTGCTCGTCGGTTGGGTCATTTGTGTTCATTGGGTTATGCTCGTCATGCCTATCAACGGGGATCTCCTCTCCGTTTGGTTTTGGTTTGCCGGGTCGGCGATCTCCCTGAGGTGGACGCACCAGGCCCTTCGGCCATCACATGTCGAAAGACCATTTCGCTTATTGTGAACCCAACACAAATCACATCTCTCTTAGAGGAGTACAAGGACCTTTTTCCTGAAGAACTCCCTGAGGGCCTTCCCCCGGATCGCAGAGTTGCTTTGACCATTCCGCTTGAGGAAGGTACCAAACCGATAAAGCGACCAGCCTTCCGGTATAGTCCAAAAGAAATGGACGAGATCAGATCCCAGGTGGATTACCTGTTGAGAAAAGGTCTGATCACGGAGAGCAGTAGCCCTTTTGGGGCCCCAGTACTCTTTGTACCAAAGCCATATGGCAGTCTCCGAATGTGCATCAATTATCGAGCACTGAACAAAGCCACTGTTAAAAACAAGTGGCCGATCCCTTGAATAGATACCCTTTTAGATCAAGTGCAAGGAGCCAAGGTCTTTTTGGCTATAGACTTGCAGTAAGGGTACTATTAACTTCGAATTGATAAAGCATATTGTGCCAAAACGGCTTTTGTGTCGCCGTTGGGTCTTTACAAGTTCAAGATACTCCCTTTTGGACTCGTGAATGCCCCAGCAATATTCTAGCAGATGATGCACCATATATTTGGTGATCAAATTGGCAAACACGTTTTGGTTTACCTGGACAATATCTTAGTGTTGAGCCAAACTACTGAAGAACATCTTAAACGCCTTCGTCAGGTGTTAGAAGTGCTACGACAACAGAAATTATATTGTCGTATGCACAAGTGTTAGTTCAACAAGGAGGAAATCTCCTATATGGGACATATTGTGTCTCAAGAGGGCATTCGCCCAGATCCCGAAGGGATCGAGAAGGTGAAGAATTGGCATGTACCACAGTGCGTGAAGCACGTAAAGCAGTTCCTTGGGCTGGCAAACTATTTTCGAAAGTTCATACAGGGCTATTCAAAAATGGCTACTCCCTTAACAGACTTGACCAAACAGAATGGCAAGTGGGAGTGGACAGCAAAATGTCAAGAGATATTTGAGCACATAAAGAAGTGCTTAACCACAGCTCCATTGCTCAAGATGCCAGACCCTGAGAGACCCTTTGAGGTCATAGTAGACGCATCTCAAACTGCAGTGGGAGCGGTTCTGACGCAGGATAATCATCCAATCTGCTATGCAAGTAGAAAGTTCCTCCCGGCAGAGTTGAACTATAGCGTGACAGATCAAGAAGCTTTAGCTTCAGTCCACGCTATCCAGTTATGGAGGTGTTACCTTGAGGGGACACGCTTCAAACTGGTAACGGACCATTGTCCGTTGACCTATCTTAAATCACAACCACAGTTGAGCCAAAGACAGGCTAGGTGGTCGGAGATCTTACAACAGTTTGACTTTGACTAGGAATATCGCCCAGGGTGAAAGAATGTGGCTGATCCACTCTCTTGCATTCCTCCATCATCTGACGAACAGGAAGCCAGGAGGAAAAGTCAACTGGTTGTCTGTGGCTTAAGAGCAATACGCAAGTGGGGACAAAAGAAAAAGACAAAAGAGATGGTAGAGGCAGACCAATTAGCCTCCAGGATCCGTCAGGCCTATGGCCAAGACCCCCAGCTTGAGTATGTGAAACAGCAGCAAGAGATGCGCTGTACAGACGGTTTGTAGCTGCGAGGCAAGCAGGTATATATACCGAACAGTCTACGGACTGAGATCTGCTAGTTGGCTCATGACCATCCAAGTGCAGGACACTTTGGTCAAGCCAAAACCCTGGACTTGGTCCAGCGGTGTTACTGGTGGCCAGGAATGCGACGAGAAATTCAACTACATGTTGATACTTGCCTGGTTTGTCAACAAGCTAAGTATTCTTGTCAAAAGACCCAAGGCTTATTACAGCCTCTGGGCATTCCTGAGGAGCCATGGACTGAATTGTCCATGGACTTCATTACTCAACTGCCAAAAACTAAGGGAGGTCATGATGCTATCATCGTGTTTGTCGATAGACTGACCAAAATGGTCCGCCTCACAGCCACGACCACTGAGCTCTCCGCAGGAGGAGCAACGACCTGTTGGTGTAGAATGTGATAAGGCACCACGGTCTCCCCTCTACTATAGTGTCTGACAGAGATGTTCGGTTCACTTCCAGGTTTTACCGGTACCTGGCAGAGAGGTGGAAAATACAGCTCAACATGAGCACTGCATACCATCCATAGACAGATAGCCAGACCGAAGTCATGAATTAGATTCTGGAGGATTACTTATATAGATACATGCGTTCTAACCATAACACGTGGGATGCAGTGTTAGCCATAGCCGAGTTTGCAATGAACAACTCGAAAAACAATTCCACCCAAGAGACCCCGTTCTATTTGAACTACGGTCGACACCCAAAGAGTCCCTTAGCTCTTGGGGTGCAAATTTGGAAGCCTTTAAAGGCTTATGACAATCCGAATGCCCGCGGCTTGGCAGTGGCTATTGATAGGGCACAACAGCCTTATTTGAGGCATACTGGTACACTCATGGAGGGATTACCAGCAGTGACACGATTTGATCACCGTGTCCAATCAGCGCTGAAAGAGGCCAGGGCGTGCTTAGAAAAAGCACGAGATAGGCAGTCAAAGCATGCTAACCGCCATAGGAGGGATGTGTCATTTAATAAAGGAGATGGCATCCTCCTTTCGACACAACATATCACCCTCAAACACCCTTTAACTCGAAAGTTATTACCGAGGTGGATTGGGCCCTTCACCATCCTCGATCGGATAGGTTCTGTCGCATATCGACTGGAACTTCCGCAAAGCATGCATAAGATACATCCAATGTTTTATGTATCAAAGATTAAGTTGTATAAGGCTAGTGGCAGAGTACAGCCACCTCCAGTTCCTATCGAAATCGAAGGAGAACTGGAATATGAAGTTGAACGCATCCTGGATAAGAGGATTAAAAAGCGTGGCCGACGACAGGACTCCGTAGAGTACCTTGTCAAGTGGCTAGGTTATGGTCATGAGCATAACAGCTGGGAATCAGCAAAAGCAGTTGCAAATGCACAGGAATTGGTTCAAGCATTTGAGAATGGAAGAACTCCTATTGTGCATGTGTCAACTGACCGCAATACGAAAAGTACACACTGAAATGAGCTCATGTGTGATTGTGCATTTGACAGGCCATGCTGAAGTGGGCCCAGAAACATACTGGTACACCGGACCCCGTTCTCCCATGTTGTTCGGATATATGAATGCTATGTCCACTGTGATTCTGAACCGGGAGAGAGTGGACAGCGACGGCCCACTCATCAACCTCCCTCGAGCACCCGTTCGTGTACGTGCAAGGGGACGACGTCCTCCGCACCCTCGGGGAGGTCGGGGTTGGATGGCCGGTGGGGGCCAAGCTAGGGGACGTGCAGGGTGAACTGCATGTTTCCTATGTTCCATTGCTGAATGCAGGCTGACAGGTCATAGAGTAGACTTTGTACATTATGGGCAGCAGCCTGAACATTCCAGCCTTTGTGCTAAAGGAAGAGTTTTAATGAGGGTTATCCACATACATATAGATCATGTAACAACCACTCTTTCTCTTCATCGCAGTTGCAATGCAACCACGCAAACCGGGCATGTGGCAAATCGCATAGCCAGCTGTCGCGTAAAAATTAACTTATTGCACAAACACAATTCTGCTCCCGTATCCACCTATTGGGACGAGGACGCCCCACTCCCTAAGGGGGACGAATGTTACGTGCACCGGCCTGATGTAGGGGATGCCTTACTAACGGCCTTTGGTGTGGGGGACGCCCTGCCCAAGATATGTTAACTATTCCTCATCCCAAGGTAACCATTATAGTTATTAAGATACGGGAGTAGGAGGGATTGTCCCGCCTAGGTCCCCGTAAGGACCTAGGTGCCCTGCGAGGCGGGTCCGCGGCTCAAAGAGGGCAGGAGCCCCACACCAACAACCTTTTCGTATCAATGGCAGTCTATTTCTTTAGGTTTTTGTTATGGTTTGTGGTAGATAGCGTATAACTAATGGCGATTTTGGCCTTGCTTATTATATGGCATTAATATTAGAGGGAGCCAGGTTGGTGGTGGAGTATTTATAACCTGAATGGAATGAAAGAATAGATGCACTTTGGTATTAACATCATGTTATTGAGTTGGATAATAGGACAATAAAGATGCAATCTTATAGACATCACAATGAGCGAATGAGATAAATAAATGAAGCAGAAAGGATTGTTTTGAGGATATCATAAGGTTTAAAAAAGTACAATAGGAGTCCCTATATAGCTCCCCCGGGCCCCCAATAATGCCCTCTTTTTTGGCTTATCACCATTTTTGTAGTCCTTTGTGTAGCTAGCACCAAAAGTGTATGGGTCTGGTAGACTGGTTGTAGTGTACCCCCTACACCGGTGGTAAAGGTATTCCCTACATCGGCCACCAGTGTAACCCCTATACTAGCAGCCAGGGTACCCCCTACACCGGCGGCCATGGTACCCATTACACAGGCGACCAGGGTACCCCTTATACCAGCAACCATAGTACCACCTACACAAGCAGTTTAGGGTACTCCCTACACCGGCGACCAGGGTACCCTTCACACCTTAGCACAAGAGCGCCCCCGACCCCCAATAGCGCCCCCTTTTTGGCCATGTCACGGGGGGGGTGCTATAAAGGGATCCCAACTGTATTGAGTTCAGAGTTGAACACCTCGGATTAGGGATGCATGCTGTTATGGTTTTCGCCCAGATGTTCGCCCATTGGCGCATGATGTTGCATTCCCTGTTGTGTGTGAGGCTCTCTTCTTTGCGGAACCCAAACGCTGTCGGGAGTGCGACTCCGTTGCGATACAACAGCGTGAGGACTGTGCCATCACGCGCTGGGGAGCGACATGGATAAAACGCAAGCATTTAGGCTGGCGCTGCGACGGAAGGGTCTTGGCTTGGGAATGGCAGAGGTGCGAGAAACGCGCACGCTGGTGACCCTGCTACCTGTCCCTATCTTGGACAAATGGGCTTTGCGCACCTATTGATATCCCGCGATCCAGTTATCACGACTATCCTGTAGCGGAAAGTGCTCCTGCATGCTTCGTTCGCCACCATCTTGACTTCTATAACTAGTGGATGGAATATGTGTGGAAGCAACCAGTAAGCTGGAACATTGCTGTGCATTTCTTCAAAGCTTCTATTCCTTTACGCATTTTCGGCTTTCAAACGCTCAGGCAGAGCTTCTAAGGTTGACTTCAGCGGCCATCTTGAAGCCCATCGCTGGCAAATCGGCTTTCAGCAAGGCAGCTGCCCAGGTGGTAGGTGTTAGCCAGATCCAAGAGCAGAGCAGGGCGCTTTAAATATTTCTAACCTGGAGCATATACATCTTTGTGGTTTTGGCGCTGGGGTAGCAATGAATGGGCAACTCTGCACAGGTGCTCTTCAATAATTGAAGGCCCCTGAAGCTGGCAATGCTGCATCGAAACTACCAACAGACTTCCCCAGAACCTCTCTATGTTCCCTTGCCCAGAGTGGCACAAACAAAATTCCGTCAAACTTGGTGCAGGTGCAGATTCTGGCAGTGTGAATTTTGTGTTTGGAATCTGTTCACAACACACCTGACTCTTCTGCTGGGAAATAGTATATGATCATCTTACTGTTGTTCAGCCAACACTAGCGCACTTGCCATTCACCGTAGTTGTGGTTAAAACGGGAAGGATTCAGCTGGTTGTTCACTGGTGACTGTTTGTGTTGTTGTCTTGTCCAAACGGCAGGCAGAGAACATTGAGGAAGTAAAGTCTTTTGTCAGGAAGCATAAGAGAGAATATACACAGCAAGGTAGGTACACCCAGTGCACTGACAGGTTTAGATCCAAGAGCATGGCACTCAGTTTCTGCAATTGTCCACAGAGACCTTTCCTACATTGCTGTAATTTGTTGTTGAGATGTTTTGTTCCTGTCACTAGGATTGCCCTATTGTCAGCTGTGCTGGAAATGTACAGCAGGCTTGGCACTGCACCTGTTTCTGCAGTGAGCCAGTACGTAGTGCTGGAGGGAGTATGTGTGGAAATTTTGCGTCCACAAGCATCTCCTGTTTACCTGACAGTTATTCTGTCCTGGGACCATGCAAAGCACAATGCATCCTACAGATTTGATGCATTCCCCAGTCAGTGAGCATTGGGTGTATGCAGTTCACCACTGTGGCTCTCATGAAACTGGCCATGTATGAAATCCATATGCCTCACACCTGGCAGGCATGCACAGTGTATGAGGCAATAGTTCAGGAAGACTGACCATCGTCCTGTGGAAGATTCTCACATTCAGCAAGTCCACCCATCTTGTCCTTCATCAGTGCACCGACGGGTTCCACAGCCAGGTGATAGCCAAAGAATCCATGAGGGCCAGGAAACCTCCAGTAATGGCAGTTTTGTCTGTATTCTGTGCCATCATTTACTGGTTGGTTCATTCACCACAGGAATTGGCTGTGCTGCTGATCGAATAGAGCAGGAGGTCGGCTTGTTTGTCAAGGCATGCTCTGCACGAATTGAGCAACTCAACAAGATTGTGGCCACTGAACTACAGGAAGGGCGGGCGGTAAACCATCAGAAGGGCAACGAGCAGACAATGGCACACTGCCTTGGTGTGGTGAGCTGAAACGATGATGAATATTTAAACATTTCCGTTGAATGCACAAAACGCTGGGCTTTGAGTGGCACCTTCCAAAATGTAAGATTTCTCCTTTTCATGAGCTGTGCAACAACCCCGCACCACTTGCAGGTGTTTGTATGGTCAGCTACATTGCAGACAGCAATCATTGTTGCAAACTTGCTTCCAATTCGAACTACTTTGTCTTTGCACGATACACCTGGTTGTCCTTTCATTTGTGCAGTCACAATTTCTACCAGCTTGATTCATATTGAGCCCATCTGCTGCATTGTTCGTTGGGCCAGCCGTGGGGCTGCTCTGGTTGCATCTTATGACCTTCTTTCACTGGCAATGACTGTGTAATGTACCACGGAAAGCTGCAAATTGTCAGGTGCATTGAGTTCTGACCAGGATCCTGTCTCACTCCATGATGAAGCTTGTGGAGCTTGTCACACAAAGTTATGAGTGCATACACCATGTGCGTGGGAGCCAAAAGTGCCCATGCAGCGCTGGACATGCTGCATACCGATTCGACCTTCGATTGAAGTCTGTTGACTATGTCCTTTTGAAGAGTAGGTCCTCATATTGAGCGAAAGACTGCATGACATCAGCATTGTATTTGATCAATGCCGCACCCAGAGATATCAAAAGACCCTTGGCCTGAAGACCAAACGTCCCAGGGAACGCGCCCAACAGCGCAGCAGAGAGGTATGTGTGTTCTGCCGTTGGCCACTGCTACTCCACTCTGCTGATGAGAATGCTGTTATTATGAGCAGTTTCATGTTGGACAAATACTAATTAGACAGTCAACTGTTGCATAATGCTTGCACTGCCTCAGTTATGCTAACTGGGTGAAGTTGTGTCAGGTCTGATGAGTGCTGTTCTCAGAAATTTAGACCCTTCTGCTGCCATCTGCAGGATATGACCTTTTGTCTCTGGGTTTATTCCAAAGCAGCATATGCCGCTTGCACATCGCTTGGCCGCAACATGCCTCTTGCCTACTGGGATGGTTCCTGCTGTATTGACAGGAGACTGCTGGTGCCACATCTTTACACACGACGGTTGGCGCACTTACTGGTGAGTCAACCCTAGTAGTGCATACCACAGGGCAACCAACTCAGCAGATGGCAATGGTGGAAGAGGAGAATGCCGCACTCCTGGTGAGCATGCTCAGTACCATGAGGAAGCTACGGTTGATTCACATATCTTAACTTGTATGTGCAGTTGAGTTTACCACATAGAGATAGCCAGTCTCCTCTTTTCAAAGTGATATAATGTTCTCATGGCCCAGCACTGCTGGGACCTGGGAATGCAATGCCCGAACCTGTCCCTGTGGAAGTATCACTAGGTGGTGATGTTGAGACATCTGCTTTCTTGTGGCTTCATTCTAACCCACAAAGTCATTTCTGCCACCTTTCATCCCTGAGAGCCACATCATGAAAACGCAACAGGCCCATTACATAGCTCCATTGTGGTGTCGACGTTAGCAGAGTATTTCTTCCCCAGCTGCCACAGGTTCAGTTGTTGGTCACCATCTGAAGCTCAGCATCCGGACAGCACTCTTCATGGCCTTGTCTCTCCTTTGCTGTCCTGGGGACAGTCAATTCCACAACAGGAAGCAGAATTTGTCAGAGCACTGCCTTGCGTACTAAAGGCATTGACATGCTTGATTTTAGCTGAACAAGTTATTTGACAACGCTTGTCCATTTCATCTTTCTCACTAATTTGCTTTGAAGAAGAGAAGCTAGGATGTGTGATGGATGCTCGCATAGAACATTGCAGCTGTGATAGTAGAGTATCCCCATATTGCGAATTCAATCAGTCACCAAAAAGGTTGATGTATCTTATCTACAACGGATTGTACACTAATGTGTTTTTGTGTCGATCAAATGTGCGGCCTTGCTTAATTTCTGTCGGTACGTACATTCCATGGGAAGTTCAGTTCAGCGGGGATATCTATCACACAGTATCATACTGGATGCAATGAGCTGACCGCCGGCTTCCTCTTTTAACCAAGGAAAGCGGTGTCAATGGAGCCACTGTGGCTCACCAAATTTTTGATCCAATGTGTATTTGTGATGTGCAAGAACATCCACATTTTTTGCAAATCAAGAAGATTGACAGTGAGCACAGATCAAAAGATGCACCATTGTTAGGTGGCGAGCATGGAAACATACAAACACTGACCTCAAAGTCATGGTGCTGTGTATTTTTTGCGCGACTTACAATCTGTGAAGCTTCTACTTTTGCTTGCAGCCACAGGCTATTTTCCATTGTTTGTGAGACCACCTGAAATAGGATATTACATTGTGGCATTAGTCTGAGAAATGCATTCCCTTTGCCACCATACAGGAGGAACTTGGAAAGTTGTCCCAGAAGGCACAGGGCACGGAACAAATGATGCAGGAAATAGCCACCCTCAACCAGATGTTCTCCGACCAAATTCTTGGTCAAGCAGCACAAATAGAGCAAATTTACTTGGACGCTGTTCATGCATCAGCGAATGTCAAGACTGGGAATGTGCACCTTACAAAGGCAGTGGCTCTGAATACGAGTACCAGAAAAATTGTGTTGGCGCTGTTGGTGACTGCGTCACTGCTGCTTCTGTTCTATGACTGGTTTAACAGCTAAAGTTCACAAGATGCCCATTGGGGAATTGCCGTCGAGTGCCAAGATGTTCTTTTATTGGCTCAACGGCAATGGTTTCCTTTGAATATAGCTCACAGAGGGGAAAGGCATAGTGTTGTAACTTGGTCCCTTGCCATGAACATGCAATTTCGGTATGCGAGGCGGGAAATCCTCGCTGGGGACGAACAGTGGATCACTGCTGGAGCTGTTGTAATTTTTTTTTCTGTTGCTGGGGACACAAAAGGCTATGTGGTTTGGATGCATGCCACCAGCCGCTGATACCCCTGTGTGGCACTCTTCAACGTCTTTGATCAATGAACGTTGGTACAGCGCAAGAGCTGTTTATCAATTGCCAAAATGGAAAAGGAGTGTGAGAAATGTGGCGAGAGATAACGGCCCGCGCCTTTGCATAACTTTGTTGCACCATGTGCACCATGCTTTTGCATGGTGTTCATGACGCCACACAGTGACCATCGTTTCTCTGGGTGGATCATGCATGTCTTCTGGCTAGCAGCTAGTTACCCTATTCTAACAAGTAGCTCGCTGCAGGTGATGGCCAGGGTAAGGCCGTCACTGCGAAATTATTCCAAGGACTTTCTGGACTCTTTGATGCAATTGTCATTAATCATGGGATTTTATTGAGTTTGTTCATGTGATACTTTTTCATGAAACTTGGCTCTTTCCTTGAGCGGCGTTTACCAAACCGAAAACGCAATAGCACTGTGCGCTTCAATGACAAATGCTTTCATCAGGTTGTCTTGTCATCAAAGAAATATTGTGGTGAAGTTGGGCTATTTCTCACTGGATGACAGTACTCTGATCACCACTCTATTGTTCTTTTCAAGTTGCAAGGATATCAAAATCTGCGGTTTGGACGAAAGCAAGTGACCACATGAATGCTGTGGTTGTTTCGTATTTTGGATTGTAAAGACCGCGCCCCTGTCTTTGCTTCTTTATTGACGTTCAGGTGCCGGCAAAACTTCTGTGTGCCATCAGATCAACCCCGCGCTGATTTCTGTGCCAAAAATCATCAGTGGCATTTCTTGTATATTTTTGCTTTTTTGAAAGAAATGATAGCATTATGCTGTTTCGTGCATACAGCAGTTGTGATCATGGATTGCACCAAAATATCGATCAGTGCGCATGAAAAATGCTAACAATATAACTTGTCATTTTGGAATACACAGATTCAATCTGTGTCAATGTGGGATTGTGTTCTTTCAATGGTGTCACCACACACCAATTTTACCATGCATTTTGACAACTGTTGCACGAGGAAGTTTATGATCAATGCGAACCTATTATGCCCCCCGTTGTCAACTAAGAGGCATATCGGACCTCAAAATTGTGACGGAACTCTGATTTAGGAAAAGGTAAGGCAAGCTGTTTATTCTACGATTTCAAGTTTGAATGAACGTTACCGCATCAAAAAGCACCGTTTGTGATGTATGCTGTAATCCATTGTGGTGCTCATTTGATGAAGGTCTATGCGTCGGTGTGATATGTATTGCTACGATACACAACCCAGAGGCCTAACAGGTACGGGTGCTGATGAGACTGAGTGGCGTCAGTCGAAACCTGCCCGCCACGATGCCAATAATCCTTGGTCAGCTGGTTCGATCCCTTCCCCACCCACAGTTTGCAGCGGATCGCTGCCCCCTGTCTTGCTGTTCCGGCAGTGGTGGTGACTTACCGTCGGTTAGCGCTTGACACCACGCTTGCTTGCATTGGTGCGATTCGATTGGTGCCTTGCGAATGGCAAATATTGCAACCAGAATGTTCCAGACCCCTCGCGCATTGCCATCCGCGCCACCCCTTTGCCAGCAGATCCCAGCGGCCTGGTGACAGACGGTTTCGAACACTCGTGGGTCGCCCCTCGCCATGTTTGGCGACTGTGCTTTCCACGACTTCGGGGCCTTTTGCGAGCGCGAGCGCCAAGACGCCGTCAACAATACAAGATACTACGACCTGCTGCGGGTTTCAAAGCAAGCGACCCAAGGCGAGCTGAAGAAAGCCTACCAGAGGCTCGCCCTGCGTCTACACCCCGACAAAGGTGCACATCGCATACAACAGCTCTTCGATGTGCCACTCAAGCTGCTCTATAGGCGTTGTCGCCCCAGACCAACACTTGCGTTCTTGTCCCGAGCACCCCACGGGTGCCAGGGAGCAGCAGCAGCGAGATACCCAAATCGGGCCCCTTGGCGTTCCAAGCCGCTGCGATTCTCACGGAAATACTGCGGCTCTCACTGCCCTATGCCACGTTACTTGTTGGGAGCTTGCGTGCAGACGATTGCGACCATTATTGATACTTCACCGGAAGCGTTGTTGGGGTACGCCCAGCTGCGCCGCACCGCGCAAGAGGGCTGACCTGTGTGCCTCACGTGTGCGGAGCTGTTGGCGTTGATTTGCGCAAGGCTGGTTGCACAAATGATTTGGCGACATAGGGTTGTTCTGGTGCATCTCCCGCATGCGATTGAGTGGGTCGATTGCGTGCGTGGGGGACCTCTGCATCATCAGGTTTCGACGCAAAAGCAGACGGCCGTGATTTCGTGACGTGCTTGGATATAGGGCGATTACGGGACGAAGCACGTTTTGCGGCTGCAGCCTTGCTTTGGGGCGCCAAAATTATTTTGTGCCCAAATCCACCACCCCAGTCCTAATTTGTATCTGTGCCCTGTTCATATGCAGGTGGGGATCCGAACGCCTTCAAGGAAATCAATGAAGCCTACGACGTTCTCAAGGACCCTGCCAAGAGGGAGTACTATGATACGGTGTGTGATAGACCATGGTTTGCGGACATGTAGTTGCTCCTATTGCCCTGCAAGCTCTTCCACACCAACCATTATGGCCCTTCCTTGTTTCAGCACGGCGAAGATGCCCTGAAGGAAGGCATGCCAGCCAGCCACGAAGGGACGGTGGAGGGCATTTTCGAGGAGCTGCTTGGCATGAGGATGCCACGGGGCCAACGGCACGAACGAAAACCACAAGTTGGAGAAAATGTCACCCACCGAATTGAGGTGACGCTTGAAGAAATGTTCAATGGGGCAACAAGGTGAACAACATTCTCTTGTGTCATTGCTGGTGTGACAATGCAGAGGGAACCCTTTGACCATGCGTGTTGACAAACAGCACAGAATATTGCCACGTAGCTTTTCAACCTGTCAATTGTGCTGAACATCGGGCAGATCATTGTGCATCTGCCCTGATCAGTGCCAAATGAAAAACTTTTCAAAGGCAGTGGGGAGTGAAAGTCAGCTCTGAAGAGTCCATCCGTGGGTCTTGCCAGCACAGCGAGCATGAAAGTCAGTTCTTGCCCCTTTGGTAGATATGCAAGTGTAACATCTAAGGCAGCGAAGAAGCAGCCCAATGGTGCTTGTGATTCGAATAATTGTGACGAGTAGAGTTATAACCGGCAACCAAGGTTGTGTATTCACCATATCGCTCAGGCAACTTGTGGTGAGCCTTGTTGTCTATCTTTTGACACTTTGTGTGTGCCTTTCAGGCAATTGCCCATGCGACGCAGGAGAAAATGCTCTGATTGTTCTGGAAGTGGTTCCAGCCTTGGCGCAAAGTCTGCCTGCCATGTACGTGATGGTGGCATCTTCGGTGAATGCGTTTCTGCCCTCATTTGAGAGAAAGCACTTATCGTGTGCTGTGCATGACAATCGAACAACGATCATCTCATTTCGGATGTGAAAACTTTGATGTCATCCTCCGGAGAGGAGGCAGGCCCTGAGCAGGTGGCTCTAGTGGACCTGGGTAGCAAATAATGTCTTTGTTTGTATCTTCGCCATATGTGTTCCATTCGCGTCCATTGACATTAGTTCCTCAATATTCACTGTTCAATATTTATATCATTATGTCCATCATTCAAGCACTATGTGCCAGTATCAGGGCCCACTGGATAGTTGCCAGTTTCTACACTAGAAAGTATGTCCATCGTATGATACTGTCAAGGACCATCCCTGCTACAGCATTCACAGAAGTCAGAACTGCGTGTCCAATGTCATTGAAACCACCTTGCACAGACCTTTAAGGTGACCATTTGCATGTTCAGATGAACAGCGTGTATGCCAAAGCTGGCTTAGAGGCTCTCTTGTCTCTAATGCTATTACCACAGAGTTTCCCATCATCCAGATGATGTTGCTGGTGAAACCAGGACTGCCACAATATAATGTGCGTGATTGTGTTGATCTCTGAAGCAGTATGTTATTCTTGGTGCACTAAATTCGGTCTCTGGAACTCTATTTCCAGCATGTGGTGAATAAAGGGGTTCCTTTTCTTGCAGGAATGCAATGGATTGGGTGTGCAGTACATCGTTCAGCAACTGGGTCCCTCCTTTGTCCAGCAGATTTCAACAAGCTGCACACGTTGTGGTGGCAGTGGCAAGTTTGTGCATCCAGGTATGATACCAGCACCACGTTTGTTTGTGTTTGCTCTTGTAATGATCAATTATCATTGTGCATGCTCCTGTACAGCCCCATTCTCAAAAGGGTTGTGTCCACAGTAGGCTCCAGCAACGGTGATTTCTGGATGTCTATTGCATAGAGATGAGGATATTGTACTGGAAGACCAGGCACATGTCGACATAGTGTGTATTTTGGTTCAGTAGTGTAGTTAATACAGTGGGGGTACCTATATAGTGGCAGCTCAATAGAGCCCAGCCCCAATAGCACCCAGTTTTTGAATTGGCACCATTTCCATGGTAGATGATGCAGCTCTGTTGTGCATTGGGCGTCTCAAACCAGTGTACAGGACACCCAGACGAACCCAAAGACTGTCTGGTAGGCCTGCAACATTCGTTGGTCGTGTGCATAGTTGGAGAGCAGATTTAACGTTGTATGAGGTGCTATGGTTACGATTCGCTCGCTGGTGGTGCCACACAGCCATTCCTGTCTCATAGCGTGGAGTGATATTTCAAGTGTGTAGCACGAAGTGAGATTCATTGCATGCTTTGGGATTTCAAGATACTCTGTCAAACATTGCCTTGTGTTAAAAATCGGAATCTGACAGTGGCATAATCTGGAATACGGTCAGTTGACATGCTGCCACACTCCCACTTGGCATGGCCACCAAGCTCCGTCACACAGCCAGTATGTCATTACATAAGGCCACCTTTTATATAATGCGGCACTGGCAGGCAAAATGCATTTGGCAGCCATGATGCAGGCAATACAGTGCAAAACACCCGATGGACTGGCAAACACCATGTTGGTGGTTTGCACTGGATTGGTGTGTCCATTTCCTTGCACTTTTGCATGTCGTTGCCAACCATGTGCAAATCGTTTGCAAATCGTGTGCAAACCATTTGCACAAGAAACTGACTGTATCACTCCAATGTGAACCTCCCACACAATGCTCCAAAATTGTTGCATTCTGGCACAGGGTACATCTGTGCGATGGGCCACTTTGGCATTTAGGCAGCATGTGTCTCAGCCAGCGGTCTTCCACTGTCTAAAAATGATGGGGAGTCCCATTTGATGGATTAAATTATAGTTGAATGCATTGAAACAAGCTAATTTGCTAGCCCCCGACCCCCAATGGTGCCCTTTTTTTGGCCATGTCACAGGTGGGCATTATATACATACCCCCACTGTACCAGAAATTGGGGCCCTTTGAATCGAGCATGTGCATAGTTGCCTACATCCATTGAACAACTGGCCTCTCAAGACAGTTTGTGTCGAGTTCTGGAGATCCAGCCCAGCCGCTACCACTTCAGTAGTTGCCATTGCAGAAAATAGGCCATCTACAGGCAGCAAAAGTTTGACAAGGTGGCGGGTGGCGGTTTGCCAAATGGGCAGGTACCCATAGGGGCACCAATGCATTGCTCAGGGCTCTGGTCTTGTGTCTGGATCAGTCACATAGTTAATGTCATTGTGTTGGATTGGCATTCCTGTGGCCTTGCCTCTTTTGTGTGATGCCACTGTGTGGCAGTGACAATGGTCATGGAGCACACCCATTAAGGGTGGCATGTTCATGCTTGCTACTCAGATCAATTGACAATTCCATTCGGGTCCTTTTCATGATGGTCCTTTAGGTGGCATACTGTTGTCCTCTGTCCACTTTGGTGTTCCACCCAAGGGCCCAATGTATTGCATGGATGTTATTGCCTTTATACCACCGTTGTTTAGCCTATGAATCTTCTGCGCCACTTGGAGCACTTGAGCTTATGCTGCATCTGCTCACCGTGTGTGTGGTTAACCCAGCTTTCATCTGCCTTCGGTGCGGGGGCTCTGGCACTGCAGAGGAGCACAAGACCCTTGACGTTGTAGTTGAGCAAGGCATGCAGGATGGACAGAAAATCGCTCTGAGGGGAGAGGCTGGCTGCACCAATCCTGAGCTTGAGCCAGGTGACCTCATAATTGTGCTGAAAGCCAAGAGGCATCCGATGTTCAAGCGCAAGAATGCCGACCTGTTTGTCAATCACACCATCTCCCTTGCTGAGGCACTGTGTGGGATGGATGTGCGAATACAGCACTTGGATGGGCGAATCGTTGGAATTTCTTCCGCCCCTGGGGAGGTCATCCGTCCAGGCCAATGGAAGTGCATTGATGGTGAAGGAATGCCTGTCCATGGGAATCCCTTGTTGAGAGGGAACTTGTACATTCAGCTTGAGGTGGTGTTCCCTCAACAAATTGACGCCGACCAGCAGACGAAATTGGGTTTTCTGTTGAGGACGCACGAAAAACCGAGAGGTATGAACGACATAGATTGCGAGCCTGTTGCATGTCGGAATGTGGAGGATGTAGAATCGGAGGTCAAGTCTCGTTCGAATTTTGGGAAAATCCAAAATGCAGGATTGGAGTCGGACGACGACGAGGAGGACATGAGATGGAGCCATGGACCCATTCAATGCACCCACCAATGAGAGGGTGTGAATTCGTCGTGATGGCAAGATGCATAGTTGCAGGGGACGTGACAACAGTGTGAACAAGGGGGAGGGAGGAGGGGGAGGGGGAGGGGAGGGGGCGGCATGTCAAGGCAGATAAGGGGCATTGCATGCAGGTTGTTAGTTGGGCTGGTTGGAGGAAACGAGGATGCGGTGCTGCACATTCAGCTGTCCACAGGCACAGATGTGTTCTGGCGGTTTTGTAGGCCATGATGTGTCACAATTGCAGTGTGGTAGACGTCTGGACGGAAGTATGCCAAGCATTCAATCCGACTCCGTGGCGAAGGCATAGAAACACTGTTTATGGAGGGAGGGATGAGCGACTAGATAGATAGTAGATAGCGGACAGCATCTCTTTCACACCCAATGACAAAGAGATGCCGGCCTGGCTTCCTCAGATCAGGCCATGATAAAGCAGGAAATCGAACAAACTTGTTGTATGTGACCAACGTGTCCAGGCAATATATTTATGTTGAGAACCATGTGTTTGTCTTCACGCTGTTGATGCCCTGATCTTTCACAATAGACCCATGCGTTTTTCTGCCCTCATATGTGCAGTACGTGGACTTGAATCGCTTCATTCATGTTCCATATGCAATATGACGATGTCCCAAGTTTCTTGCTGCTGGGTTGCCCCCGGCATGCCAATGGCAGCATGGGCATCCGACACGGAATACATAAACAAGGCAACGACATCGCACACAAATTGGATCACGAATGCACCAGGAAAGATGTGCACCTCGCGAGGAAATGTTCTTGTTGTGGGAATACACACCGCATCCGCGTTCCAAGGACGGAACTTCATCTTGCACGTACGATGTACAAGGGGCGATATGTCTATGAGCTGTCAAAGGCAACTTAAATATCGTTCAGCATTTGTAAGAAAAAAGAAGAACGGGGGATAACGCCCCCCGCCCCCACCCCACCCGCGTTGAGCATTTCCGTTCATATTCAAAATGCGGGAGTCGTTGTCTGGAGTACCCCCGCGTTATACAGCTTTCCACCAGCGTCATGCAACACTTGAGATGCAGCGCCCCCGTCCAAGCAATTCATGGGGCGCGACAGGCTCTCCCCAATACGTGGCGGCGCCGCCCGACACCACCTCATGCACCTTGCGCCATCCATCCCATATGACGTTACTTCTCTTGTTGATCTGATGGATGGCTCGAATTTTAATGCCAGCAGCATGATGTTTGATTCAGATGACCTTGAGAAAGTGACTCCAGGTGGGGAGACCACCAGGCGTGGGCATGAGGCCCTGCCGGACGTCTGCGGGGCACAAGGGAGGCAATGGGACCCTCCAACGCAGTGCCCAGAGCCTGTGCGTACGTCTCGACGTCCTGTGTGCATGCGAGAGGCATGCTAGAGGGCAAATGAGCCTCGAGCGATTGTCGAAGTGCTAGTCTTCAAACTGAACCAGGTGAAGAAGAAGAAGAAGAACGAGCCAGTGCTCCTCGTGGCATATAGGATTCTTCAAGGAAAGATTGCCAAGGCTGAGGGCAGAATTGTTGCCCATTTCTTTATGTCGAATGAAGGTGGGACTCTAGCTGAAGCTTGCCAAAGGGATGGAGAGCTTTAGGCTCTCTTGCATGAGCAGGGCGAGTTGTGTGCAATGCAAAAACGTCCTCCTCTTCGTCAGGGCATGTTGCCTTCGGTTATGGACACCATGGCGGTTTTCAATCGTCGTGAGAGAGTGATCAGCGAGCTGAAAAGAAGGGATAAGACAAAGACGGAAGTGCAAAGATGGCTTCAAGGAGGTCGCAAACGTGTCTTGGCTCACGCTCAGCCTGCATTCAGGCGCTGAGAGGCACCCGTGATTCCATGCCGCATGGCATGGCGATTGACATGGCCATGCTGCGCATACAGCTGCACCATGTGAGAAGGGCCAAAATGACGTATAAATGAATATATTGAATGTAAATTGGCATGACCTCATGCGGGGCGATGTGACCTAGCTGGTGTGAAGAGTGGCCGTATTTCGAATATATGATAGAATATACGATTCAGTGACAAGTGTTGAATATGAAAACGAAGTATCATTTTCGCATTGAGGGGTGCCGGGGAGCTGAATGCTGTCGATGGCAACGCAACGCCCGTGCTGTGTGGTGCTGTGTGGAACGATTGGAGGCAACGTCCCAGCCCATATGGGGTGTGTTCTGATAAAGAGTGTGTAAGGATAAGTGCAAAGAGGAGTACTGTCTGGTGTCATGGTGTCCACAGTTGATGTGTTTAGGCCACTGATGTAACATGGTTTGCAGCCTCGAGTGATTTGGTGTGAAAGGATGTGTGAGCTACAAATATACGCAGCCCTTTTTGAAAATACCATAGCATTTCATTAATTAGAGCCCTAAGCTAAACGTGGAAGGGGGGCTGTGCGTTGGGCCGGAGGCTAGGCTTCGCTAGACGTCATCGATGTGAACGGACGGACGCATGTAACGCACTGTTGTGGGTTGAGATGAAGCGTCAAAAGGTGCAAGTGTGCGCAGCCTGTTGGTGCCCTTGCCTTCGATTTCTGAGCTGTTTTGGTGTTGCTTCACGTGCCATTTCTCCCCAACACACAACAGAGGACAGACGAACTTCTTGTTTGATTCATAACCCCTTGGCTGCTATGGGGGTTCATTGTTCCTTGCAATCTTGCTTTCTCGTGTTGTTATAGGTGCAACCGGTGTTCGACTTTGTGGGAATTGGTGCGACCCACGTGACATGTGATACAGTGCACTTACTTACTAAGAATTTTCGGATTTCTCTTAACGTGGTAAGACCCCTTTCATATGCGACTGTTCTGGTGGCATACTCGCCCCATGGTGACCATTGTAGTGAGATCATCATTGTAGTCAATGGTTTTGTACAAACGTTGATCACCACGGATGCCCTGGCGCCCTGCAAATGCCGCTAATTGTGCGGCAAATCGAACAGTTCGAAATCCCCAAAGGGTCGTCGCCGCATTCTGCGCACGTTCGTACCCGCCTCCCTGGCACAAAGGCAGGCGGGACCCAGGCGTCGATGGGAAACGAACCTCTGCACGGAGGACGCTAGCTGCTCAGCAGGGTTTGGCAATGTCCACAGTGGAGCCCGAGGAGAGGGCCAACGGGGCAGAACCAAACGCCAACGACATGGATGGTGTGGAAAAAGAGACTGTCACTGCCGGAGTGGTCGCAGCCCGGAGATGCGCGGGGGTTGGGGGGACTGCGTTCATGCAAACGCTGCCCAGTTCTGCGCGGAAATCGGCATATTGATACAGGCTCCCAAATTCCACGATGAAGGAGGGGTGCCTTGCGCCATGCGACAATCCTGACAAACAGCATTGACTGCCGGCGGCCTGGAGCACCATGCGCGTCGCCGGCACTCGACCTGGGACGGAAGCTGCGCCTATTTGTTGCAACTTTAAAGGAATAGAAATATTGGTGCCCACGGGCGAGCTGCTGATAGTTGTGGGGAATATCGCAGCGACGACGGTACTGATAAGGACATGTGGAATCAGACGGTGAGGATGCTGGCGAGAGATCTGAACCGTGCGATCAGAATGGTGGAACCGCTTTGAGGATAGCTAGAATGGATGCAGCTGAGAGGCATCAGATGGATACGAGTGGCGCAAGCACAGATGCAGGATATCAACACGTCCGGACTCTGGAGGGGCATCACTCGTCGGTTGCGGGGGTTAAGTTCAAGCCAGACGACGGGGCAATTCTCGCGAGCTGCTCGGCTGATGGGACTATCAAGATGTGGAAGACAGAAACTGGCGAGACAACCAGAACGTTGAAGGTACAGCTACACTACCAGAGCAAATCGTTTTTTGCAAAATCAATGTGGAGCAGTATCCTAAGTGCTCCCTTGCGTTCCCTTCATTTGTGTTGTTATCATACATGCCGCAAAAGTGAATTTTCCTGTTGTGCCCTGCAGGGCCACAAAAATGGCATCAACGACGTGGCTTGGAGCCAGGATTGTCGATATCTGTGTTCAGCGTCAGATGACCAAACGGCAATGGTGTGGGATGCAGAATCTGGGAAGCAGCTGAGCACATTATCTGGCCACTCAAATTTTGTCTTCTCCATAAAATTCAGCCCTGCTGGCAATTTGCTGGTGAGTTGGCTCTCCAAGGCAAGTGGTTTGTGGCAATGTAGATGCCTCCTGTGAACCTGTGAAATTGTGAAGCGGTTCATGTTGTCAGCATCAAGTAGCCAGAGTTCATTTATTGTACACAAAAGATTGGTAGGAACAGCAATATGCCCTCAATAGAATTGTCAAAAGTGCATTGAATTTGTGTCTATGGCTGTCCTGTAGGTGAGTGGCAGCTTTGATGAGACCGTCCGCGTATGGGATGCTCGGACTTCAGGAATTATTCGAGAGTTGCCGGCTCACTCTGATCCAGTGACATCAGTTGATATTAATCAAGATGGCACAACACTCGTGTCATCATCCTTCGATGGGCTTGTGAGGATATGGGACACATCAAATGGAAAGTGTCTGAGAACGGTGATAGACGAAAATCATCATCCTGTGTCGTTTACACGATTCACCCCCAATGGGAGGTACCTCCTTGTTGCGACACTCAACGGGCAAATGGCTCTGAGGAATTGTGAAGATAATAAGGTTGGCTGGCTTAGTTTGCTTGATTTGTAATTTTGTTTATGTTATTTCATCCGTTCTGTTCTGTCTGCAAGCCTTCAAGCCAGATTTAGTTTTCAGCATACCCTGTAAATTCTGGTTCGACTGTGTGTCATGTCACGTGGCATACCTTAGTGTTCAGGTTAAACTTTCGTGCCGTCAGGCATGCACAGCAACAGTACCCCGAACATGGGAAGAAGTCTTGATAACTTTTGCATGAACTGAATTGGTACCCCAGGGTGTGCATGCAACAAATACGCGAGATTGGTTTGCTCAAGGCACAGATTCAACACTGTTTGGTGTGTTAGCCCTGCACTTCCTGGCAATAATTGAAGACAAGGACACTATTGGACACCAGCTCATTGCACAACAGTTCCTATGGGCTGACTTTACATGGCAATGGAATGAATGGCATAATTCCCCCAGTTTTCCATGCAGAAGTCAGGTCTGCTAAGCTGTACAATGTGTTGCTGTCCTCTATTCAGAGCTTGAAATTGAAGGCTGCTATGCGATGGACTCTCCAATATGACAAGGAACAGAGGAGACGGCTTGTCAAAACGCTATTCTGTTGGGTCGTTCAATCCATTGGTGCTGTTAATGCAAGTATGCCGAAACCTGCACCTACCCTTCGCAGTCTGCACTTCAACTTGGCACATCATGTGTGCAAGCGCCTTGAAGCATGTCTATGCCTCTACCCTGCACGTGGTTAACTTTGGAGCGCACAGGCGATGGCAGAGAATTAATGTGTGTTGCCTTGTTTGAGCAGCTGATTGTCTTTTCAACTGACCAGGAACAGCACTTCCTGTGCAGATAAAAAAGGTTTACAGAGGCTACCAAAACCAAATGTACTGTTTGGTACCTGCCATTTCATGCACAAAGGGCAGGCTTGGTGGTAGATGGCTGGTGACTGGATCTGAAGACAATGGCATATGTGTCTGGGAGATTAACAAGAGGGAGGTACGGATGACGCAATTCCCATGGTTGTTTCCTTGCATGCATGTTTGTGGGTGCATCTCTGCTTGTTGAATATGTAGGCAATTACATCAAGTATATGTTTCTCCACTCAGTTGGTTAGGATAAGATTGTTGTGTTTGGGCAGCATAAGAACCAAGTCTGCGCAATTGTCATATCGAGAAGCAACAATGCTGGATGCAACGTCGTCCAGCTTGGGACTTGCATTCGACTCTCTTCCTGCTGCCAACTGTGGGAATGAAGACTCCCTAACTGCCTAGAAGCAGTCTTAAACATCCCCAGGGATCCAACTACGAACCAGAAGGTGTCGTATTACGTGTGCGGCATGACATCAGCGTGAAGTAACAATGGTGTTCTGGATCATATTGCATCGTCGTATCTTGCAGTCATATTTGACAGCTTAATATTGAATCTAACAGCTTGGGATAATCAATTGTCGCATTGCAGGTGGCTTGTGCAAAGGACACTCACACATCGTCTTCCACGCATTTGCATCTTGCTGGACAAATTCATTGGGGGTGCATGTAGCTGTGGAGAATTAAGTATACGTATGGCGTTATCACGCTGTTGCTGTTAAGCACTGATTCGGCCAAGCGGCAATAAGTGCAATCTTGTGTCGCCCAAACTGCAATGTGCTTGACAGTGAGCTGCATTCTGCTGCAGTATTGTAAATCACAAGCGCGTAGCGGATTACTGGAGGAAACAGTTGCATTCATGTAGTAATTCACTATTTAAATCAACGTGGCAGCGCTCTCGCCACACATGTCTGTGTGCGTTGATGGCCAATAAGCACCGGGAAGCACGGGAAATAATTCCGTCTGACATTTTTTCTGTGGTATGTGTGAATGGATCAGTTATGCCAGAAAATTGAAGGCCGGTCCAGCCCGTCGGCCCTGGGAAGCGGGCATTGCGATGTTCCTTTGTGTGTTGATGCCCATCCAACACAAACCATGATTGCATCCGGAGCAGGAGAAAAGGACTCCAGCATCCGGCTGTGGCGAGCTAGTGAATGACGGAATACATGCAGACCTCAAGGGACATGTCCTGCTTCCCGTTGGTTTTGTTGCACTTTTCAAGAGGTGTTGATTGTGAGCTCCCTGCCTGAGTGGTTTTGTTTTCCTGGGTGCGCTAACGCTGCCCTGCCATTATCACCTTGGGCAATGAACTGCCCCTTGCCGTTCAAACGTCCATGAACTGATATGCCTATTGCTACTGACGTGTTCATCCCTCATTGATGCTGATTGTGACATACGGAACCCGCCAGGGGTATCCTGTAGTTCCTTGCGACCTTGAGGATAACTTCCTTCTGGGACAGTGGCGTAGCGTAAACAAAGGTCCAGAAATTTGAGAACGCAGAATGTGAGGAGCAGAAAGGGGCGCTTGTTGGCAACTGGTAGCACCTCGACGCAGTGCCTTGCACAGTATGGCTTTGGATGTCCGTTCATCAGATGGTCCAAAGTTTGCATGTGGCTGCGCTTGCTTTGTGTCTGTTCCGTTCCCCAAGCAATGGGCAAAGGCATTCTCCGATTGGAGTCAAGGCAAATATTGCCACCTCACTGCCCTGTATGCCGAGTGTGTTTGTGAGGGTGCCATTCACACCACGGCAGGTTCTCACCAAAAACAGACGCGTTGCTGCATTAACAGCGTTACAGATTGTGTGCTGTTCAAAGGAGTACAATTAGACAAATGTGTCTAGGCCCATGCACCCTCCCTTCTGTTTTCCCCGCCCCACATGCACAACTGGCGAAATGAAAGGCATACTCATCAACGTGCCATCCGCGCAATGCCCACGATCATCAACTTCAGTTTGCCCACTCACAATATGGGGCGAAGGGAGCCAAGAAGAGATGGGCCAAACGAGTACGAACGTCGTTGGCCCAGATCGCTGTCTATTCAAAGAGGCGTCAATGTTGCGAGCTGCTGGTACACTGCGATGTAGCCCCCGGAGGTGGACCCATTTTTGGTCGCCCCAAGCGCGAATCCTTGTTGTTGGCACGTGGAGGACGAAACATACATAGGCGTCTCCTGCAAGCAAGCTGTAATTGCACTGGTCTGTGAGGCCTCGGGGCATGATGCGAATGGGCAAACAGCACGCCGCTGAACCACACGGAGACGCTGTGGATGTCAGCTGTGCCTTGTAGGCCTCAGCCTCCAAAATTATACTGCAACATTCTGTATGTTTCTGGTGCCTCTTCCACCGCTGTAACAGCATGCGCCCCCAGCTGGCCCCACTGGCTTATTTGCGTGTTCATCGATTGAACCCACTACAAGTCGATATCGATAACTATGAGAGCTTGTTTGGTATGTTGCATGAGCTTCCAAGTATTTTGCTTGAAGGTTGTCGATTTGAAGATGGAAGAACGTAGTGCAATTTGTACAGAAATACTTTGGTCGTGGTATTGTCCTCGAAAAGTCTTTTGGATAAGTTGTTGACATGTTTACATTCAGGGAAGGCACTATGTCGAAAGTGGCACGCTTAGCGTCAATTTGAAGGGGGAGGGGGCTGTGATCCTGTGACCCTAAGAGATTATGTAATTGACACAATTTCCACGTACGGTCTGAAGATACACAAGACGCCGTTGATCCAAGGCAGACGGCTCGTGACTTGTTCCAAAACATCTCTCAAGCGTTCAAGCTTAATGAAAACGCCAGAATACCCCCAACAGACGGCCATTGGGGCTGCCACAATCACCTGAAATGACATTTATCATCCCTTTTTCAGCGCATTGCAATCGCTACAATTTTGACCGTTTGTGTTCCTCAAAAACCCCTTAAAATTGTCTAGCTCTGTAATGTAAAGTTGCTGAGTCACCTTGGCATCGACATAAGGATTGCCGCTAGGGGCGAGGGGGTTGAGGGGTGGGGTCTGAGCTTAACGTCAAATTGACGCTAAGCGTACCAAAATCGACATAGCGTCTTCCTTAATTTGATCGCCGTTCATTGTTCACTTTGTTTGGAAGGATATGTAGAACTTGCAAATCTGCAATTGGGATGCCTGAAAATGACCATGCGGATTATCTGATCTGCCATAATTGCAGTGCTTGAGCGCTGGAATGGAGCTCCAAACCTTGAACTCGAGTTGCAAGACCGGACCTTTTCCTCCTTCTGTTTGCTACACTACTCCGTTTACAGTGCTGGCGAAAGGTCCGTGGCACAGACTCCGTTTTGTGGTAGCCCAATCCCTGGCTGGGTTTTGAGCGAGCGTGTGTTTGTCGCACGGCACGCTGGATGTGCTTGAGCGATGGGGTGGCATGTGACTGCATTGTCGTATGGGCGTTTCTGACCAATGAGCTTCTACGAGCATTCCAAGGAGCTGACTCGGTCATCACTCAACCTGCACCGTCGAAGCACAACACAGTTGATTGCAGTTTTCTGACTTGCGACATCAGGCCCGCCATCCAGACGCAGTATCCACTGTACTTATGGTGTGCGAATACCTTATAAAGTACAGATAGATATCGCACCTTCTGAAGCATGGGTCAAGCACTTGCTAATCCCTTTCTTTTACCGTTCATAACTGAGGTCATTGTTAGTTGGCCCAACGTGTTGAGGTTCCTTGTGCAGGGAATTTGAAATTATCATGCAGGCACGCTATGGCACAACAATCGTTTGGCGTCATCAAATGCTCGCTTAAGAACACCCCAGTTCCACCTTGACTGTGATACTAGCATTTAGAGCAAAGACATACGAGATTGAAGGAGCTTCTGCATTCAAGAATCAGTTGCAGTTGTGTCCAACTCCATTGCTTGACCGGGTACCATCCACATTTCAAACACATGCGGCATTCCGTGTGGGGTGTGGAGATTCTGGAGGCAAGGATGTGAACGACCAAGATCTCAGTACTCCATAGACATGGCGCGGCACAACATCATGTGCCATGATGTGCGAAGAAATCGCAGGAAAATAGTGTGCTGCATTTTCAGCTACTCACACGCCACACCACTTAGATGAAAGAAAGCAAGCGGGGACATGCAACTTTGTGACTGTCTCAACAGGTGCAGCTGAATAACTGAAATACATGATATCCTAATGCGAACCGTTTTTCCACCTGTGTTTTCTCTGTCAGCAAAGGCTCCTACCTTATTGTCCAGTTCGCTATTCCTCAGAACAAGAATTCTTACTGTCCGTTGAAAGGAGCTGATTCAATCACCAGCACCATATGGGGACGGCTGGTATTCTGGACTTGGCCGACTATTGTGCAACTGTCATGTGTTCAAAGGCCATGCAATTGGTGCAGAACCTGCCCAGTTATTTTCAAGATCGCTATCAGAACTCGAAATATTGCGCATCCTTCCCGCAAGCTGCAAGAGCTAGGGGCCATGGATTCGTTGCGAGGCTGTGCAACAGTGGGGATGCCAAGTAAAGAATTTTGCCGCATGATAACGAACCGGACAACATTTAGGTGATCAGGTTGTCCCACAGCAGAGAACATGGATAGACAGTTACTTGTTGCCCTGAACTGTACATTGCACAATCTTACAGACGAGTGCTGGAATCAGTCTGTGGAGTTGACAGTGCTGGGAAGTAGCAAATGCAAAGCTGCCTCACTCCACCTCCTCAAGATAATCAGACACTTCTGCAGGTGTAAGCACCTGTACCTATTGTTGTCTCCCACTACAGCCACTTCAACATTGTGGCACGTGATTTGCCCCTCAAACCCCTCTTTAAGCGTCAGCAGTGCAGTGTGCACAGCATCCTCAAGTTCCATTTCCTCATTGTATCTTTTTTTCCAGAAAATGAAGTCTTGCACATTTTGTTTCACCTCTTGTTAACAACCTTCAATGCTGTGGAGATCCTGTTAGCCGCAATTTCCCCAGGAACTTTTGGCAGTCCCACAATACAACACCCACTGAACCTGATGGCTGCGTTGCATGGCTAATATGGACTTTGCATACATTCTCATGGTTGAAATAATCTGTCGAAGGTTGACAGGACTCCATATAGCTATTCATTGAACAAATTAGTGCAGCTTCCCATGTGCAGCAAAACCATCGCAGCCACTTATGCGCAGAAGCATCAAAACGGAAACCACAGCAATTAACATTTCACTGGGCTTGCCTTGTGTGATCACACAGCACAAGGAGACCAAGATTTCAGATCACGGTAACTGATATCACCGCAACACATAATGCTCTGCATCTCTTTGGCACCAGCGATTTCCCGAATCCTTTTCTTCCACCTTGGCAGCTTAGTCATCCACACTCCATCACAGCAGGAAATGCTTCCCCAGGAGGCACGTGGTGTTGACTCTTCCTTCTTCATTTCCTAATCACAGGGATTTTCAGAAACCAGACGCAGGCCCGCCTCACTCACGTGTAAACTCCTGCATCACTGCCGCTGTCTCTCTAACGAGGTGTGCAACGGGGATGTTGTCCTTGTACAGCATGAAGTATTGCTGTGCCTTCTTGCGCGCTTTGCGAACCAGCACCCGAAAGTCCGGCCTCATGCCGGACTGTGCAGCACTCCCACGTTAGGGGACAGCAGCTGCACCTTCTACACTGTCCTCTCATCGTTGAGCATCGATGGCAGTTTCTTCCCGGTCGCAATTACGACTCCATTTTGTGGCCTTCAGTCCCAAGGAGGTGGCTCCTTGCGCCACCGCATTCAAAGCGTGCTCGATCTGCACCAGCTTACCGTTGGGGCTGAACGTCGTCTGGGAGAAGGAGTAGGCCGACTCCGCCATACGGGCGAGCGACCAAGCTTCTGAAGCTCGAGGTGAGGTCGCAACAAACGAGTGGCTGCTGCGACGTTTCTTATGGCGCGAATTCCAACTGAAGACGTCCCAGCTCTCGAAACAACACCGAGTGCTGGCAACACCTGGGTCCTGTGCAAGACTCCCACACACCTCCACGCAGCCTCCCGGTAACTTGGACACCGTCAAATTCAACGGAAGGGTGATACCTCATGGGGTTGAGCACGCGAAATCACCAGTGGAGTGCCCAATGCGGCTTACGTGGGCAATGAGCTTGGCCCAACAGCATTGTTGGACGCAGCCCCTGCTGGACAAGTGTTGTGCGCCTCCCAGTGCCGCTCACCGCGGCATCGTTGCATCGTAGCGGGCGGGCTGTGCCGCTGGGGCTCGCCACCCTGGCGGCCAAGATGCTGGGATAGCGTCGACGACAGCCATCCCGACACTGCCATGGGGACGAACTGCTCGGGACGAGGGCCGGCAGGCGGGGTGCCGTCGGGACTCGTCCCGTGGTCGGCCAACATGGCGATTGCTTCGGCGTTCTTGCTTGCCCTCGTGTTCTTGTCCTTCACTCTGAGGGAGATGATCAGGTGCCACGATGCAGCGCTTCCCGCGGGTCGCTCAAGGCCCATCCGGACTCAGTGCTGTCGTGGCGCTGGTGGCCGGAAGCAACGGGGATAGCCCAGGAGGGCTGCCAGTCCATTGGTTGCTTTCGCCTGTGGCGTTCGGCCGTATTGCCCCTCGCAGCTGTCTCGCAGCCTCTCACAGTTGTTACATGTTGCTTTCACGCTTCCGTACACACTGGACGGCCAGTCTCGGTGACCCGCTGGCGCATTCCGAAATGCTGCCCCGCATTGAGTCGAGCAATTCCGTGCAAGGTGGGTGATGCCCCTACTAACACCGAAACACTGCGCAGGCTGAACAACCGAGTTCAGAACATGCAGGACGAGCTCTATGTGACCTTGCAGCAGATTGGCCAGCAACGGCAGCTTCCGCAAGAAGTGCTGATCGGTATAAGGGAGGTGCTGGAGTCTGGCAACTCTGCGGATTTTCTAAAGACACTCCGTGACGAGAATAGAGCCGAGCAACGGGACAAACCATCAACCGAGTCTCTCGACGACCTGGGGATCACCAACGAGAGCTGCGGATCTCAAGATGCCGACAGCCTGGAATGCGACGGGGAGCCAGCATGGAAAATTTGGAAGTGGCTGGCGGGATGCACGCTCTTTTTGTTCTTGACCCTCGGTGGCATTTTCTGGCACTATCCTGACCACGTCCTTGGACTGATCCCTCAGCCGTTACGAAAATCTTCCCTTTGCTTCTCTGGTTCACATCCTCCGTCAAAGGTGCTTGCCTACCGTGTGGACTGCTGGCTGTCAACGCAAAAGTACAGCAAGGCCTTGTCTCTACTCTTTTTGACATTGGTGTTGGCCGTGCTTGGGGGCCTTGCCATCTTTGTGGTCAGTGGCGCCAACCTTTACAACGCCTTGTGGGACGCAGTGGCAGGGCTGGGTTACGATTGGACATTTGCCTCCAATAGCGAGGGCATACTGACGCGTATTGTTGCAACCATAATCAGCGTCGGAGGTCTGCTGGTGACTGCAGTGATGCTGAGCATAGTTTCAGGTGATCACAATTCATTGCCTGTGTGTTGTGCTGCACTCCCTTACAGCCTGTAGCTGGGGAAGTACAGTGTCAATGTCAGTACCAGCAACTGCCTGCTGAGTGGCTGAATGGTACTCCCAATCTGCATGCCTCTCCTTTGCCTAAGAATTTGCTGCTCGTCTATCTGGGAGCCCGCTTTTGTAGACAGTGGCTTGCCTGGCATAGTGGCCACCAAATATTTCCAAATTCCTGCACATGAGGTCTTGCTCCTGGCCAGCTTTACCTTGTGTGGCACCTGTGGTGTAGTAGTGTGCGGCATGCTAGTGTTGCCCTTTGGGAACTTTGTTCAGTGGATGATCCTAGAGGTGGTGTATGTTTCAGAGGCTATCGGAGACAAATTTGAAGAAATGAGGCGAGGGCTGTGCGAAGTGCTTGAGACTGACCATACGCTGATCCTGGGATGGAGCGACAAGCTTCTTCCAGTTGTCAGTGAACTTTGTCTTGCCAACGAAAGCATCGGTGGAGCACCGGTATGTGCCCTTCGCTCCATGTTGCATGCTAGTTTGTATGCATTCACTCACTTGTGGGCACATCTTTTGTGGTACCGGAAAGAGTCACAAGTTCGTTGTTCAAGAAGAGCAGTCCAGGAGTTGGCTTGTTGGAAGTTTGCGTGAGTTCTGCATATGTGGCTGTGGCTCGCGAGTCTGCCTACTCAATCCATCAGCCCCCTCTTCCATCTGAACAGGATGTCGTCTTTTCCTGATCAACACTATGCAGTTGCTTGCCAATGCGTGCACCACTGATGCACAAAGTGGTTGTCAATGCCAGATAGTCATCATGGCAGAGAGGGACAAGGAGGAAATGGAGGCAGAGATTTCACAACACGGCCTGAATGCCAGGGGTTCCAGGGTCATTTGTCGGTCGGGCAATCCCCTGCTGAAGAATGATCTCATCAAGGTGATGGAGATGCACATGTCTCAATCTTGAAAAAATGTGCTGTTCTTTTGCTGTGATCCCAGCACCCAATGGGTTTTGTTGTCATCTTCTTTACTCAACCACTGTGTGTTCTGTTGCTTTGTAGGTTAGTTGCCATCTGGCACGATCAATTATTGTCCTGGCCAATCAACAGTCGCCAGACCAAAGCGATGCACGAGTGCTAAGAATTGTCCTCAGTCTTGCTGCTTTCCGAGATGATCCAAGAGCAAAAGGAGGCCTCAAGGTAACAAGGGACATTCCCTTTAGTAGTACCTCATGTGCCTCTGTCATTGACTTCTGTGCTGTTGTTTATTGCACTGTTGGGGCTTGATTCTTAGATGGTGAGAGGGCTTAACATCATTATGTGAGATCAGGGGTTGAATTTCAAGGTGTGGCCTTGTTTCGCTAGCGAGGTACCACATCCTTGGTTTCTTGGGGCTCCACACGTGGGTGCTGGGCTACTCCTGTGCAATTGTTCGGCTAGCGCTCACTCGAGGAAACCCAGTAAAGGTGGTCATTTGGGTTTAGGCGTTTACCCAGGGTTAGGGGGGTTTCTCACACACTAGACCACTACTGGTGCCACCCAATACTTCAGGATCGAAGAAAAATGCGAAAAAGACGAAACTATTACTGAGGCACAAGGTGCATGCTCAGGCGGATCCAGTGCCTCTTGACCATGGAACAGTGTACACACCATGTAAGAAACAAGGTCGTCTGCCCCCAGAAGGGGTGCCTGACCAAAGCAGGAGGGACTACTGGGCAATTGTCCGTAGTGGCACCTAGATACTGATCTAAAGGCGCCGGACTGACTGAAAGGCAAACTAAGGAAGACAGTTTAGGGACGGACCTTGCAATCTGGGGACGCACTGGAGACACGGGCAGAAGTTACTAGTGTGAACTCAGGCATAGCATGGAAGCATCATGATGTATTGGAGATTCAGGGGACTGAACATTTTGCTTCTGCTCCCCCTTCAATTGCCTGCCATCAAAAGTATGTGCAGTATTTTGCACCGTTGAAACATGGCTGAAGACACATGGCTAGTTGTCAATGCTTTTGCACCCTGCTTATTGTGAAGTTCCTTTTGTGCAGAAAAGTGGTGGAGTGCATGCAGAAGTGTCAGCGTTGAAAGACTGAACACTGAGAGTTGCCAGTTGGCTCAGTAACAGCTATGTTTAGGCAGTGTTATCCCTGATGATTGTATCCTGTGTTTCCATGATGGTCAGCTCCACTAACGATGTTCCACGTATATGTGACTTACGTTGCAGGGGCATATTGTGGTAGAAATGTGTGACATTGACAATGAACCTCTCTTGAAGATGATTGGCAAGGACAAGGTGATGAAGATGTTTGTGGAGATGTTGATTACCAACCCCACTGATGTTACATTGTTGAAAGGACATGCTTTCTATGAAGTCCTTGTGTGCTCCCTGTTCAACATATTATGGGCAGAGTAGTTGGCTGATGCTCACAACTTGCATATGGTTTCAGCCTATTGAACTAAGTAGTATTGATAATGTGTGGGATTGAACTGCATGTGCAAAGGTGGAGACTGTTGTGGCACATGACATTATTGGGCGGATGATGATCCTTTGCGGACTGCAGCCAGGATTGGCATCTGTATGGCAGTCATTGATGGGATTTGAAGGCTGTGAGTTCTACATGCGGGAATGGCAAGAGCTTCATGGGAAGTGTTTTGGGGAGGCCTTGTACAGGTTTGCAGCTGCTGTCCCCATAGGTACGCACATCACCACACTTGTAGGATGTTGCATTCCACTTACACAACATGCCATGTTGACGATGCTGCTGCAGCTTATTGTGTTATGGTGTCCCTGTTCCTTGCTGTAGTGTCAGATTTGAGAGCAGTGAAAACTGCGGGGCAAAATGTCTGCTTGTGCTCCAAAGAATTTGTGGCTATGGCTTACACACTGAGTTTTGCTATCAGTACTGGTCAAATGGGTTCCCAATCCAACAAGCTAGAGGCTTGTGACCATGTTGTTCAATTTTCATGGCAGTCAAAGAAGCAATGCCTGTGGCACGATTTCAGCTACGATCGCCTTGACATGATTTAGTTGAAAAATCCAATGTCTGCACTGCACCACAAGAAGTGCTACCCTGACCAGAACACAATGCTTTGGACCAGATTTTTTTTAAAGAAGAGTGGATGCTTGCAGCCCCTGTTCTGGGTGCTGGTCAGGTATGTTCCTACAAAAAGATGAAGGTGTGGAACTGGGCCAGCTATGCATGATCGTCGATCCCCACAGAGTTTTTGCTAGTCAACAGGGTTCTCACCTACACTTCGGAGTTCCCTGAGCCGAGTTTGCAGTCAGCATAATTCCAGAGCATGCCACTTTCATGAAAGGGGTGCCTGGTGTTCTTGAGCTTGTGTGACAAGGTTGGAAGGAAACCATTGTCACCCATCTTCGCAGAATCAAGAAAGTCACTGGAAATTACCAATGCTGGGCATTGCCACTGCGAGCACCTCAACAGCTGTTTATGCAGCTTCGACTGACACTGCGATGAGGGACTTCTCAACCAGCCAAAACCCTGATTCCCCCATTGCATGGACACCTGGGATGTCCACTAGAATATCCAAACATTCCATAGTCCAGTCTGTTGGGTTCCATGCCATTTCGGGGAAGGTGGTTTGTGATCTAGCAGTGCCACTCATTGGAGATCTGCCCCACGCATTTGAGTTCTGTGATGATCAGAGGGTAGTCGACACATGCACGCAGTCTTTAGTAAGTCTCTGGAAATTTGTTGCCAGGGGTGGATTTCAGACGTATCAGGCTGACGTTGTCACCCAGTGGCTGCGCAAGATTGTTTGGATTATCGGATATCAGCGTTGGTGAGAATTGCAATCAGATGCCATGTCAGCCAGTGATCCATTGTGGTGGGTGCTGAGGTCTGGGCTACAACCACACTTAAAACACTATACAATGCGGTCAACTGGAGAGCTGGCCATTTGAGGAAGGAGGTCCTAGCTGTGGCCAGTGCAGCAGGGTGCAGTGGCTAGGATGGTTTGCACACTCCTGGTGGTTCTGGCGTATCTAACAGAATGTTTACTCTGGCCGGGGCCAGGTTTGTTGGCTAAGGTGAAACCTGCCTTGGTTCTCAAGGTTGTTTCCATGCATATCTGCTATTTGTTCGTCTTCCAAGCACAAATTCAGTGTCAATTCGTCATTCGTCACAATTGACAATCTTGTTGGAAAAGGAACATGTAATGGTCGGTATTGATGCAGTGAATGACCTTTAGGAATTAGCATCTTGACTTCTGGCTATATAGCAAAAGCCGGCAGTAAGACATAGGGTATGGAAGCCCTTGGCCTGTTGTGCAGCCTGAGCCGTTTCATACTCAGTTGAAGTGGCAATTGCGCAGAGCATACTCACAAAGTCACCTTCAGCCAGGAAGTTGCAGAATTGTGGTTGTGTCATGACAACTAAGGGCTGTTTCACTAGGAATAAAGAAGCCATCGGGCAGTGTGCTCTTGAAGCCAAATGATGAAACCATCATTATGCCAGGTGAAAAGGAGTGCACCGCACCACAGTATCGCTGTGTAGACTAGTGCTTGGGTGACAATCGATAGAAGTGTGTTGCTCTGTTGCTTGCCCATTAATCTGTGGCAATGTCAACTGCATGTGGACAGCAGAGGTCACATGGTGCATATAGCGAAGCAGAATAATGGATCACTTGGAGAAAATGAATTCAAGAAGTCTTTCTGGAAGATTGAATACATTCAGGGGTTTATTAGGGAACAGGATACACTACCCTTTTGGTCGGACTGCAATGAAAGCTGTGGATGCTGTCCAATGCTGCATCCAGTTTGCGCTGATTTTGTAGAGACATGTCCTCGTCTTGGGTGGTTGAGGTTTTCTCCTGCTGGATCTTTCTTTGCAGGTGACCAGCTTCTGGTACTTGCTGAAGATGAAAACACATATGACATCGGCAAGGAGGTACAGTTCAAGCCAACGGCTGTCCCTGCTACTCCTCCTCTCTCGAAGCCTGAGAAGATACTGTTTTGTGGATGGCGGCGAGACATGGATGACATGATAGTAGTGCTGGATTCTTTAGTGCCTCCAGACAGTCAACTCTGGTTGTATAACGAGGTCAAGATTACAGAGAGGAAAGAAATGCTGTTCATGGTGCGTCATTTGCCCTTCCGCACTTTTTTTGTAGCCATCAGCATCTTTTGCATGAGCAGAGTATGAAATGTAGGAGCAAGGATGCACTGCAGCATCATTTTTGTTGTTCCATGTAACAAGCTCTATCAGAGTAGTTGTCAGACACTGAATGCACATCAGCCTGCTATCGTTCTTTGAAGCTGTTTCCATGTTGTGCATGAATCTGAATTACTGGCTGATCAAACCAAATTTAGTGCAATCACTCTGCATTGTCCAAATCTTTTTATTGTGTTGGTGTTTTCTTGATGCGGTTTGATATGGGTTTGCAGATGAACTGCAGTCAGTGTAAAAGGTGCTTCGTCCAAAGATTGGGCTACTAGAAGAGGTTAATTTATGACTCATAAACTCTGACAACATGAATCCACCACAGCACAGGAGACAACCAGCTGACAGTGGAAGCACGCCAATTTCATCGAGTTATGGGAATGCTGTGATGCCTGCAAGGAACTCTTGTGCCAGTAGACAGTCAGCACCGCCTAGTATTGAACTGAGTATTCAGCCTGTGCAAGGCATGTGACTTGTGGAATCGCCAGACAGAGGCCCCTGGACACCTGTGTTGTGGTACATTCGGACTGTTTAAGGAATGTTGTTCCTGTTGGCACAATCTGTTATGACACTGACTGGCAGATCTGTGTGTCGGGACAGGGGGGCCTTGATCTTGAAGCCGGAGCTTTAAAGAACCTTACATTACATTACATGGACCCATCGCTGGAAGGAGACCTTGTTTCAAGGAAGAAATTGTCTTCTCTTGACCCTGGTTCCTTTTCTTCTATATTGATACTGGCAGATGAGTCTGCCAATGGGGCAAACATAGCAGATGCAGATTCCAGGAATTTGACAACTTTGCTCCTGCTCAGGGATATCATGATGAAGACAAATGGATGTAAGGTCAGCAGAAACTCTACAACACGTCCATATGTTTTCACCACATGCTTGTGGTGATAGTTGTTGGCACATATGTGATTGTGAGGGAGAACGACACAGTTTTTGGAAAAGAAAACAGCAGTGAATGAGAGCCAGGTAACATTGTATGCTGAGTTGAGAAGTACGATATATTGTCTCCGCAGCATCTTCTGTATTCTGCAATTCACTTGGCAGCCAGATGTGCATTTTGTTCTGAGCTTCCATAGAATGTTGTTTTGCTGCAGTCATGCAATGCAAAGTCGACTTCCAGATGTACCACTGACAGGACACCTATGGTTTGTGGTGGGCATTGCAGCCAGCGCCCAAACACTCCAGGTGGCCCAGCCTTGAGATGATCCAGACAGTCAGCAGGCAGGCAGGCACAGTGATTATAAGCGAAATCCTGGACTCCAGGACGAAGAACCTCATCCAGGAGCTGAGCATCAGTGAATTTGTGATGAGCAATGAACTCGTGAGCATGGTCCTTGCGATGGTTGCAGAGAGTGCAGCAGTCAACAAGATACTCAAGGAGCTGTGTGGAGGCGATGGCAATGAGCTCTATGTGTATTCGATAGAGAAATACATGCACAAAGGTGCGCTGACGATCCTGGACAGAGAAAGGTGCATGCCCTACGGTTTCTCAAAATTGTCACAAGAATGTCGCATTGGATGCTTTTTTGTTATCTGTGCCTTGCATTTGCGAAGAGATACCACTATGCTGATTTTGCTACACCTAGCATCAAGTAGACGCGAAGGGAACAGGGATCAATACCTGTGACCCTAGGAATTATTTAATTGCAATGCAATCAACATGAGCTGGGAAGATGCCCAACAAGCCGCTGAAGAGTGTCAAGCAAATGGGGGTCTGGGCTCAGTGTCAAGCTGACGGTAAGTGCACCAAATTCAGCATAGTTTCTTCCCAAAGTGAGGTGTTAATCATGGCAAATCAGATTTGGAGAACTGCCGAAAGTGAGTGTTTCTTTGGTTACGCCAGGAGAGAAACTCAGCTTCTTCGAGTTGATGGCCAGGGCAAGGGGCTGTGACGAGATTTTGATTGGTCTGAAGTACAGAGATGCAAGAGGCCTCGTCCTTAACCCTCCTGAGAAGTCCAAGAAGGCAGTTTCGCCAAAGTCAGTGGAGTCGGCCGTTGTCATAGGAATGCTGAGGCAAGGAACAAATACCTCCCAGCCTTCACATCAAGCTCGGATGGATTTCGATCAAGTTTAAGGCTAGGCACCATAGTATTATTGTTGCATGGGAATGTAGGATAGAAAGCCTTTCTAACAAGGTTCCAGCGTGTTGTGCTCTCGAATGAGTGCATGACAGCTGCCGACACTAGGCTTATTTGTAGTGGTGAATCCCAAGCGGCCGGTTTGGATGGCGAGCTGCGGGGTCGTGGAGCTGCTACAACTGAAGGTGCTGACAGGCGGCATCCTGGACTGGGACAAGGAGTCTTGCAGGTAGCATAGACGAAATTGAATCCGAGTTGCATTCGGCAATGAAATGATTGCTTTGTGAGTAGGTCCACGTATTTGGGAAATCAACATTTGGCAAGGCTCGTGGAGAGGGGCGTATCTTGCCAAACGCAGCAGTCCTGACGGTCATGTGGTCATGCTGACTCTTGCCCAGGGGCAATGCGGCTGATGAAGAGATTCTGTGGTAATGGTTCAAATGAATGGTTCATGTCTGCAATCCTCTGCTGTGCTGATAAAAGTATTTGATGGCCATATGAAAGCAAGAATATGAGAGCACGTCCCCCACAACACGTGAGTCGCATGATGTGATATTTATTCTGCACAAATGCGCTGCCCAAAGACAAGAGATCGTCTGGCGTTCGGCATCCACGTTTCATCTGATTTTAATGTGCACACTGCCTATCGGGATAGGTGAATTTGCTTTAGCATCGGCAATGTACCACACTAAAACAATGGCATGGGAAACAACTGGGTACTGAGAAATGAAATTGCCAAGTTGAATTGCATTGTGTGGCCGTTGGTTGCTGCACAGCCCAGAGGAGGGGCCCCTTGGCGCCCATGGTGTCTACCAACAGCCCCTCGTTCACCAGCATGCCAATGTCTGGCATGACCAAGTAATGAGCGAAACGATTTTCCATCTGGACGTTACCCATGCGATGGATAACTAGTCGTGGCGTCACATAATGGCCACCGTTTCACTGGGTGTTAAGGTTGGTGGTTGAGTGATGGCTCAAACCACTTCCCCAGGAAGCACAGATACCACACACACCCAAAGCAGCCCAACAGCACTCGCACACAGCCTTTGCAAGGCTGCTCCATAGCAGAACTCGGGCTTACATATTTACTTGTCTGGTTCCGTGTCCAAACACGGATTTCCTCCCAGACGGCAGCACCCATCGCGATCAACTTACTTCCAGTCTCACAACCACTGGCTTGCCCTATTCATAACCCCGGGGACTACTTCATCACAAACGCCCATCAAGCAGCTCAATCACAAGCTAACTCAGCGCATAGCCAAGTGCAAAGCACGTCATAGACTTCTTTCACACAAAAATCAGGTGGAGGCCTAGGCTACTAGAGCACATATTTAATCACCATCAAGGGCACAATGATGCGACACAACAACAAAGAGAGAAACCCACCCTTTGTGAGCTCCAATTCACCACTCACACGCTCACTTTCTGACTACTGACATCTTTATCATGGCCGTTTGCAAGCCTAAAATTTTACTATCTTAAAAATACTTGCAAACCAAAATAATATTAAGGCAGTGTCAAGTTGTGGAAACAGCACAGCCACAACTTCCCCACAAGCTTTCCTGTGGACAAGATGTCTTGACCAGGGCGTTTCCATGTGAGCTGCAAAGCGTTTTTGCAGAGAGCCTCATGCTGTCCAATACAAAATGAGCGTTATCGAAAAGGCATCCAATGAGCCAAACTAGGTAAAAAACAGGCACAGTACCAGAAAGAGAAGTTCACGAAATTTTTCAGCAATTTTGTAGCGGCGGTCAGCTCAGGCCATCCATGCAACAGCACACGCCTTCTTGAATGCATCTGGTGAAGTGGTGTTGATAATATTGCCGTGCGAACACAGGGTGGATTACTTATTGTTCGTGTCGCCAATTATGGGGCTCATCAGGAAAAAAAAACATATCTTAGCGATACTGCTCAGTGGGCGCCCCGTGAGGTCATGAAATGGGGAGAGCGAGTGTCGGCAACCTCAGCACCTTCACTAATATGACCATCACTCAACAGGTTGGTGCAGAGTAAGGTGGGGTGACCCTAAAATCATCAAGCAGAAGCATACATTTAGTAAATTAGTGCTGTGAGGGCTGATCCGAATTTGGATTTGGAAGCATCAATCAGCTGCAAGTCAATTCCGCAACATGACTGTGTCATTCCCATTTCATTTAGAAGGTTTCAAGAGGCGTTTGTTAAAAAGTGCGCCAATAGGCGTTGTTTTGGCCACGATTTGGCCTACCAGTGTACTTTATGAACGGGACCCCGTTTGTAATGGAGGAGGGCTGCCCCCTTCGCGGTCTGCCCACAGAACAGGATGAGACGGACCCAAGGGGTGTGTGTTGAGGCGCCACGTGGCTGTGTGATGGAAATATGACCCACGGAGCATTCTGTGGCTGCTGACCGCGGGAAGGTGGGTGTATCGGAATGAATTGCGGCGATACGATGGAGTGACAGAAAAATTCCAGGCAATCGAAAGATTCTTTCACGGAAAGGGGGTATGGTGTGAAGTGTCGGACGTCTTGGGCGGATACAAGTACGGAGGGTGCGAAGAATGCTGTAGGGGACTATGCATTGTTGACTTCAGCATGGCAGCTGTGACAACGACTGCGTGTGGGTACTCTGTGCCTCGCGCGGCGGTCTAGGCATGCGGCCTGGCTGCCTGAGTCCCCTGGCCGTGCGCGCCTCGTGCGCCATGGCCTGAGCGCAATAGTGCTTGATCTTTTCGAAAGTCGCGGACACTCTGGGCCGTTCTTGAGCCGTTTTCTTGCCCTTCACGACCAACACCTTGAGTGCGGTCTTGCTGCTGGCCAAAATCGGTCAATTATCGTCGCTGCACAGCCATGGCAAAGGGGAAGGAAGTGGCAATTGGCAATGCGTTATGCGCTGCCGCATTGTAGAGGGGACTATACTGGCCCGTGGACTTAACCGACGTTTTTGACTTTTGAGGAGCTGCTGTGATTGATTGTGGAGTTCTGGACGGTATTTTCCAGCCTTTCTATAAGGGCGTTTGCGTGCGTTGGCCGGCGGTTGGTTCTCTGCTGCCATTGCCATTTTTGGTGGCGACCGTTATTGTGACAAGCGGCGTTTCGTGAGGAGCCAGTCCGCGCAAGGGGGGACCTCTTGATCGTGCCATGCACTCTCAAAAGAACGTGGTGTTGACGCCGTCGACGTGAATCAGCTGCCCATGAGTGTAGGAGGGGTGTATGCGTGGTTCCCATGGCGACCAACGACATATGGAATGGTCGTTGTGCTATCAACGGGGGTTGGATGTTGCGACCGTGGATATGTGGCCATCTACAGTTGCTGTGTACTACCAGAGGGTACCCATGCATTAGCAAGCGGAGCCCTTACATCGTTTGAAACGATTCGTTTCACCTTCCTCTGCGGCACACATCCGAAGATTCTGTTGGCCGTCATGGCTGGTGGAGTTCAGCATTATGTAACTCCCAAACAACGGGTATTCTGTGTACGGTAAACATACGTGTATATGTAATTAACTATCCTGTTAATGGATTCCTGCCAAGAGAGACGACGGGTGGGCTGCACAAGAGATTCAAATGGCACAGATTGAACCCAGAGATTACTCAGCCCCCGCCCCTTGGTTTTCCAGCGACCATAGTACCGTGGGTCAGTCAAAATACGGGAAAAACAAGGTGTCGCCAACCTTGACGCCCTTGGCTGTGGCGCGCTATGACAGGGCTGAAGGAGGCGGCTATTTAGGCTCCCCCATCGCCCCCCCCACCCCCCACCCCCCACCCGTTGTGGGATGGAGAGGGAGTGCAGTACGATTAGAGTGAAGTATGATTAGAGAGCTGGCTCATGGGGTGAGTCAGTATCAGAGTGGCGTTAAATACCGGCGAAGCGAAGGGCAAACTTAAGGTATTGAGACTTCGGGTACAGTGCATTGGCTGTGATCAATTGTTAGTGTTTTGTAATGTGGGAGTACATGAACGGGTGAGCTCAGGAGACAGGTAAGGTAGGAACACCATACAGTACCATATGCATATACATAGTGCATAGTACACGTTATGCGGCACTATCAGGGAAATCCACCATTGATTGAAAGTGGGGAAGAGATTGCCTTCTGAAGGAAACCACGCCAAGAATTGACCAGGCTGAGCAAGCGTTTGGAGTGAGTGTTTGTGCAGAGGGAGGCCAGGGAGGCAAGGAATAACTGACAGATGTTGCCCTGCAGGGCATGCTCAGCTGAGCATTCAGCTTTTCCATACCACTGATCAGCTCCCTGGAATGACCGTGCTAATGGTATTCAGGCAGGTCCTAAAATTCAAGACTTCACGCAGTGGGGGCAAGTGTCACCGGACAAGCTTATCTGCGACACGAAAATCCATTATCCCGCAATGAAAACTTAAGGTTACATTCGAGCAAACTATCTGAATGCACTTGCGGCACTGGTCTCAGACCCATGAGGCCCATATGTTCTGTATGGTTGTCATCGAACGCCTCTGTGCACATGCTTCATTGTGAGTCCATGTGACAGGCATGGCTACGTACAGCACTCCCACTCGAATGCACTTGCATGCCCCAAAGATATAGTACTAGCATAAGCACTGAAGCGCCTAGTAGACGCCGTCTACAGTGCATTAGGGTGAAGGACTAATGTGCGCTACATATGTCAAAGCACTCTAAGCGAGGCCACCCCCCCGTCAATCCGTATGGTACAGCGGATTACGTTCCACTACACCCACAAATCAATGCGATTGCTGGTCCTAAGCCCATTCTTCTTGGAAGACCGCGGATGGTTTGGTGAGGGGTTTCTGGAAATTGCGCAAACGCTCTTGCCCGGGGGAGAACGGAAAAAGAGGATTCGAAACCGTTGGACTACTCTGAAGGCAATGTGTTGAGGTGCGCAGGGATAATTCTTCTGGGACAAATAGGATAGTCCGGGGACTTGTCCATATTGTGCATATTAAGTTCTGTGCATTGGGGAGAAGGGTGTGTGGCCATGCCTTTGCAGTGAATTTGCTTTACAAGAATAGCTTGCCTGTGGGGGCGGTCTTTTCTGGATCATTCTCTCTTCAGTTTATTCACATGTGGCACTAATTTGTAAATCCATCCAATTCATGGATGCACCCCCTCTCTCCACCGAATACCCTGTACGTCAGGAAGTTGGCATCCCAGCACTTAAGAGGCTATATTGAGCGAGGCGCTTGGAAGTGCCATAAATTATGAATTAAATTCATGGAGTCTACTAGCGCAATAGCTTAGTGAGGGGTTTGATGCACTTAGCCCTGGCCGTGGGCGGACCACAGTAAGACGCATGAAGAATGTAAATCGCGAGGTTATGTATCCCATGAGATATGTGCGCGGAAAGCGAACGAGCTGCACACATTTGGGATTTACTGAACACTAACACTGACTTGCATTGAGTTGAGTTGGTAGTTTTGCCTTGAAGAGAGCTGTGTGCACTGTAACCTGGTTATATTTCAACCTGCGATCGCACGGTCATTGTACTGATGGGGCCCCTGGTGCCTCCGCGACCGCATGAGCCATGTTGGAATGTGCACCAATATTCTGACCTGCGATCGCATTAGTATGATTAGAGACCGCATGAGTACACAGCCAGCTATCATATCACCCCGGGGTGGCTGTGCCGGCCTGTCACATCCCCTAATAAGGGGCTGATGCGCGAAATGTGACCACACGGGTTGCTATCACGTGATGCCGTGCGATCGCAGTTCCATCAAACGCAATACAGTGCAACGTCACATAGTATACGTAATGAAGTGTATTGTAGTGTTGTGCAATATGGGTGGGAAAGGTGCGTGCACGGAAAGGGGAGAAAGGGAAGTTGACTAAGGGTAGGGTCGCCATCAGCGTGGCATTAAGTTCTATGCAAAGCGAGGGGCACTTCTCAAGTGGGGCGCCAGTTGGGCCTTGTATTAGTGAGGTGATGGACACCAGTACATTTGCAATGCTGTGTCGTGTGGGGAACGCAGCGTGCGGGGGAGGAGACTGGTAAGGCAGAAATGGAAATGGCGCATGACGAGCGGAGTTGGGGGTGTAGAACCTGGGTTGCCTTTTCTCACAGCCAGGCTTGGTTTTTACGCCGTAAAAACTGATCGTATTTACGTTTTTACACGTAAAAATGCGTAGAAATACGTAAATACAACGTAAAACTTGCCCGTTGTACATAAGGACAGCACATACAGACTTAGGAGTCCGGAGAGTGGCAGATAGACGCCCTGGAAGGAGCATAAAACGAGTTTTTGTTAAACACCGTCATCGCCCTTGCCAAGGGCTAGGTGGACACTGTGTTAGGTTTGGATATGGCGGAGGCCTGATCATTGTGCGGAACTTTCATCGTGTAATCTAGGCGTCGAAGGGAGCCGTAAAAACGCAAAAATAACCGTAAAAATAGGGCCCTTTGCAAATTTACGTTTTTACGCATAAAAACGTAAAAGTAGGAACGTAAACATAAACGTAAAAACCAAGCCTGCTCACAGCTGTTTGGAACGCAGCATGTTTGTCAGCCATCGAGTTCTCGGTGCTAAACGTGACCTCGTAGGTGCCTCTTGGTCATTTTTAGCGAAGAAAATGCGCTGATGGGCTGTGAGACGTAGTGGCAGGCGATGGTCCGTCAAGGGACTGGTATCAACAATGTTTCTATACAGTAAGAACGTAGTGTCCAGTGCTGACGGTCATTTTACTGGCATAACACCTTCCCACTATGTTGCGATCTCAAACTGGTTCATTATTGTTGTCCGAGATGCAGGCGACTGGACTCTTGACGTATGCTGTGGATAGTCTTGAACATGCGCACAGAATGCCATGGACCCACAAAACGCAACACCACGGACGGGTACAATCTGGCCCGCCTCAATCTTACATTTAACTCAGATGGAGAGGGGCGGACAACAGCAAACAAATTTGAAAATCCATCACAATCGACGACTAGGCTGCTCGTAGCAACAATGTGCACAGACTGGAACTGAGACGAAAGCGAACAAAGAATCGCACATAAACTTGCATGAAAAGGAACGTGAAAAACAAGTCATGGACACAGACATGAACGGAAAGAGGCAAAGCAAGAAAATCGAAATGGCATGAAACTGAACACTCACAATGGACAGCTGGAACCCCGCTTAAACATGATCAACCACACATCCGAATATTGGAAGTGGTCGGGTTTCGGATGTTCAAATATAGCAAAGAGGAGCTTGCAGGATCCAAGACAAGGCTACCAGCTGACTCTCAACCTGAGATCGCCCTTTATTCTATCTAAGATCATCTCAGTGCGTAGAAGGAGAGAAGCGACAGCACAAATTGGCAAGGCAGCGACACGCAGTGTTCACCAAATTACCGCCACAGCTCCTGATGCGCCCCTCCATTGTTGCATGGACACTGATTCGCGCACATTTGAGTTACGCCAGTATGCTGTTGTCCAGTGTTGTCCTATCGTTGCTCTCACATTCCGAGACCAAGCACTTCTTGAACTAAATCAAATTCGTTCAATTTCGTATTGCCAAAATTTCTATTGAAAATTGATTCCCAGAGATTCTTTGCAAATTGTGAAATAAACATTGGAGTTCTATCTTACCCCAGCTTGGGGCAAATGGCCTAAGGTGGATGCCACTCACCACCACAGCCTGTTTACCGACGACTGGTCTAATCCCCTCCTCAAAAATTGAACGAAACAATGTCTCCACGCAATGTAGACTCCACAGTGCACAGTTAACTCAGCTCTTGTGCAGAAGCTGCCATGTGACCTTTGTGTTTCCCACAACGAGGATTACACCAGACAGGATGATGCATACCACTGCCACTATTCTGGATCGCAAGGAACGCCACTCGTGCTTGGCAAGCAACATCGCAGGGGCCAGGAGCGCCATCCCCATAACGGCCGTGCATCCAACGAAATCCATCGCAATCTCGATCGATCCCAATGTCACCGACAACAAGTACGATGTTGCCAGTGCACCATACGTTACCAAGTAGAACCGCCAGCCTGTTGGACGGGAAACACCAAAAAACAAGTCGGACAGATTCTCCCTTAGTGCCCAATTGATCAGAGGGAAAGTGAGTATGAGCTTGGTGACATAGAAAAGGGCCACCGCCGTTCCGAGGATAGTAGACGTCCGTGCTCCAACGATTTTCGTCAGGTATCCAGGAGTGAAATTGAGGAGAATGTCAGTCTCCGTTTCTTCCCCAAAGACGGCATAGGCACCCACAGGCACCAAGATGTACAGAGCTGTGCTGGCTGTGAAAGTGAGCCTAGTGGCCAGGATCATGCGGTCACGGCTGTATGCCCTCAGTTCTTCCATCTGAACACATGCAAATCGCCAGTGCCAATCAGCCAGTGATATCAATTGCAACCCTATCCTTCAGCGAATCATGTGCATGACAGATTGGATGAGTGGACTGCATCACTCTGGCGAGCAAATACACTTTGTGGACAAGATTCACCAAGAACATGTGAACACATGTGAAGCACCCTGTTGAAGAAGCGCACATCCCAGTAATGCGTTGAAAAACTCACCAGAGGAGGGACGTTCATGTGAGCAACATATGCACACATCATCGTGGGCAATGCAGCCAATAATGTCACAGCCATTGTCCATGGACTTGACCCAGCCAGCGCCCGGTTCAGTCCCCAGGACATGGAGGCCAGAGTTCCGTTGACAGCACTATGCACAAACAGAACCGCAACCACAAGAGCAAAGAAGACCACCAGCACGTTTGCGAAAGCACTGGCATGCACCAAGGCTGACAGATTCCTGCAGCAAAACCACAAAAGCAGCATGCCAGCTATTCATTTCCACAAACTCGATTTCCGGGAGCACAGAAGCATGGTTGCTTGGGAGAAACCAAAACATGGAGACTGATGTGCAAATGTCAACAGTCTACCCCTATGCACGCCACAAACTGGACAATCAACTGGATGTTTACGATCTTAGAGATGATTTTCTTGTGCGACAATATGCAATGGCGCTTTACTGCACACTCACCTTTTAGAAACCAACGGCAACAAGAATAGAATGCACACCAAGAACAGGACAAACCATCTCCTCGTGAAGATGGAGCTCTCAAAGCCACAGAGTTGGGCGAACTCCGGAACGATGCCACCGAAGCGCTTTGATCCCATCAACACATCACCAATTATGATCAAGTAAATGGCAAGTCCACCTGCACAATATGGCAACACCGTAGAACACATTATTGGTATTTCAATGTTGGCATGTTGAGGTTGGGAACACAACATCATTCTTTTGCTGTCATCGGTGTTCTTTTCACAATTTCTGTGCCAAGTGGGTCTTGAATGTGCTGGAAAGTGAATTTTTGACAACGATTAAGTGGTGTTGACCTGTGGCACATCCTGTCTGTGTTCAACACTGTCAACCTGCAGATTCCACAAAACTTGTGCAGTTCTAGCTCTCATTTGTTGCACATTGCTGCAGTGTGAGGCACAGCCAACATGTAACAGGTTCAAACAAGGTGACAGGCAGTGTATTTTCCTTCACATCAAGCTAGAATCCTCAATATTCTAACATTGTACAAGTGCATGCAGCATACCACTAAGCAGGCCACAACTCATCACAAAAAATGCCCACTTTGCCCACCTGTGTTTTGAAGGATGATGCACCACTGCACGAAGTGGCCCCAGAAAAGGCCCAGCTCACCACGAATGACGTCTGTGTATGTGCGATGCCCAGAACGGTGGCAAGCCCTGCAGTGTGAAACGCAGCACAAGCTGAGACCTACTCATGCAGGAGATGTGTACATTTGGAAGCACAGCTGAGCATGCCAACAACCACAGGGTGGGGAATCAAGGACTTTTTTTGCCAATATCTTTTGTCACTACTCAGGGAAGCAGAACAGCCTTTCAGATACAATTCTAGGCTTGCTGTGGTGCCCTTGAAGGACGACAGCTAGCCTTGATGAGACAATTCTGTTCAATCTTTCATAAACTGAGCCAGGGCAACTCAATAGTGCCCTTCACATGTTGAGATGCAGGCCCATTGATAAACCCCATTGCTGCTGGAGGCCACCAATCTGTAAATCATGTATCTCTTGGAGTACTGCATTGTCTGCACTGCCATGAAACAAACAATCGGCATATTATCATTTGACACATTCACAGTCTCTGGAATTCTGTACATGGTGCAACCATGAGTGAAGAGTCACTGTAGCAACTCTGCACACATAGCACAACACTTCAACAAGGACTCTACAAGGCTGTTCAGCGCAACACAAACAATGGCACATCGCGCAATAGGCATGTGGTTCGAATGCAGCAGCTTTCCACCACAAGAAACAAGAGCAGTTATCCACCTGATCAATGCTGCGGCTGTCAGATACAGCACGTATCCCAAAGCAAGACTGAACACAAATCCAAGCACAACACCCAGCGTAGCAACCTGGTATGGCAGGGCCATAATCCCTGCCACAGAGTACGCAACACTTTTCAAACAACAGTGCGAGAGGCAGTTACCCAAAAAACGGACAAAACGTGTTTTGATATTCTGCAGCTGACAAAAACACACCATGGTGACCTGCACATTTCCCTCATGCAGTGTTATCTCATAATTGGCGTTGTTTTACCATGCTGGCTCCATCCCTTGCCAATTCTGAAGTGGTAATGTTTCTGCTGCAGGTTCACTCAGCACCAGGCTGTGCCAGAGGAAGTTACATTTTGTCCAATGTCACATACAGCACTCATTTTGAAAGGAAGTTCCAACAAATTACTTGCAGTTACGTCATACACAAAAGAAGTTTCAAGAAAGGTAGCAGGATTTTGGTAAGCAGCGACTGGGCTCCACATTAACGATTAAAGCGGCAGCATTCTTGGCAGCCACAGTAGCTGAAAGCATGTCTGGCATTTGCAGCAGGAAACATGTCAAAGTGACATTGTGCCTGTTATGCACATACATCAGGAATCATTCAATTCAAGCGAAGGAGATAGCCTGCAAGAATCTGCACGCAAGAATGGGTGCACCAGCAACAAGATGCAAATGACATACTTTTTCTTGGCATAGGAGGCATCCTCTCAGTTGTGTTGCAACATGATTTGGTTCTGTATATGGCTGATCGAAATGCTAAAGCCACACAAACAATTTGGCAGTGGTAATTATGCAGTCCAAAACCTCGTTGTTTCTGCAAATGCCCCAATCATGCGAAAAAAGGACGCGAGGGTCATGAAAAGGTATCCCCTAGTCGTTTGAGCCGCTTGGCCCTCCCTAAAGGGTGCTCAGCGTCCGCTGATGCTGAAGGCCTTGAAGACTATGATATTTCGGAATGCAAACCCTCGCCAAGTGTCCACCCGAAACGGCATAAAGCCACGCCATCGCGATTGACGCCGCAGATTTCAGACTCGGATTGGGGAAAGCAGCAGTAGTACCTGCTCCGACCATCGTGTTGAAGAGATTGAGGACGACGCCTCCAACAGACGACTTCTCTGGTGCAACCTTCGAATCTGTCCGCGGCCTGGCCAATCATTCAAGCATGTCAGCGATGCAAAGCCGTCGCCGCATCACGCACAGATCATCGGCGAAATCCCACCTCGACAAAGGGGCCCTCCTCTTGGGAGGCGCTCGCGCGTCGCTGATGAAGGCGCAGCGACAACCCCTGCGACATACCTGTCCCCGGCCCCTTCCACATCGACCAGAAGAGGAATAGTCAGCGAGTCTCCCACGGTGTCATCCGAAAGTGTCGGGAGTGCCGACCCACGCTCCTTTCCGCGTGTGAAACCGCTCGCGCCATCTCCATCAGGCGGGGTATTCCGACCCGGTTGGTTCTCAGCGCAGCGCGCAGCCGGCGCCATTGCGTTGATGATCCTTTCCTGTGAGCAGCGTTCTGGCCCCCCGCATCCACAAGCGGCTTCGAAGGGAAGGAAGGGCAAACGCTCAACTTATTTGGGAGCTCCCGGTTCGGGGGGGCCCTCAATCTGCTTGGGGTGTGAGCACCCCTGGGGAAACCCTATTGTGTCCACTCCGTTATTAAACGGGTAGCCAATTAGCGGGTGCTGGTCGAGGATCTACAGCCTATTTGCCTGGCATCGCTTGTCTGAGTGTATCTTAACAAATGACTTTCTGCTCGTTAAATTGGCTTACGCCATCTTACTTCGCTGCGTTACGCGGCCCACGTCCTACTCTTTCCCGTCCTTCTCTTCTTCTTCTGCCTGTCCCAATCGCTTTCTTCGCCCACTCACGCCCTAACGGTTCGCCAAGTGCCCCGGTCCGGTGGCGGGCCTCAAGACCCGCCCCCGTCCGGGACGGATAGGGGCACCTGCCTCGCTCTTAAAGCGTCAACAGCCCTTCGGCATTTCCTAATGGTTGCAGGTTCTATCCCGGCGCCGTGCTGTGGCGCCTAGCCCGCATGCCATTGTCCTCCCCGAGGAGGCGAGAGGGCCGTTTCCAGGCATACCCCCCAAAGGGCAGTGGGTGGGTGGGTCACAAAAATCTCTCCACGCCCTGCTCGCGCGGTTCGCCTTCTCCACTGCTCTGCTTACCATCCCTTTGCGCTTGCTTCCGCGGCGGGTTGGCGGTGGCAGTCGTGCTAGGTTTTGGCCTACAACACTTGACGCGAGGAGCGATAGCTTCCGGCGCCGTACTGCGCCCCTTTTCCATCAATCGCAGATCCAGCGCGCCCGCGCCCATCAATCGTCCTTAATTTTGTTAAGAATGCTCCTCGGTGTGAATGTATCTTAATAAATGACTTTCTGCTCGTTAAATTGGTTTACACCATCTTACTTCGCTGCGTTACGCGGCCCACGTCCTACTCTTTCCCGTCCTTCTCTTCTTCTTCTGCCTGTCCCGATCGCTTTCTTCGCCCACTCACGCCCTAACGGTTTGCCAAGTGCCCCGGTCCGGTGGCGGGCCTCAAGACCCACCCCCGTCCGGGACAGATAGGGGCACCTGCCTCGCTCTTAAAGCGTCAACGGCCTTTCGGCATTTCCTAATGGTTGTGGGTTCTGTCCCGGCGTCGTGCTGTGGCGCCTAGCCCGCATGCCATTGTACTCCCCGAGGAGGCGAGAGGGCCGTTTCCAAGCATACCCAACCGTTCGGCCCAAATATGGGTTGCAAAGGCAAAGCCGTATGCGGACTGGCTGAGTGTGGTGAATGTCTGGCAGGAAGTGCGGGATACTTGGAGTGAGGTCCTAGGGGGGTATATTGTGGCTAGCCGTGCGGAGGAATGGACGGTTTGCGAGATGAGTGAGCAATACCAGACGGCTCGGGATGTGCATAGAGCTCGAGTGCTACACGTTGCGGAGAGGAAGCTACCGCGACGAAAGCAGTGGATTGAGCAGGAATTTGTGACCTGGTGGGCGCGACGACCCAAGGACTGGCAAGCAGGACCACCGCAACCAGAGGATGTGATAACGTTCTTGGAGTGGTTTGTCCAGACGCACCAGGGGTGGGCCCGGACCTACACAGAGGGTGGAGAAAAAGTGATGCACTTCAATATGTTGGAAAAGGAAGTCAACCATCTAAGTGGCTGGTTTCGCCGAAATGAGCAGGAGGGGGATTGTCAAAGTGAAGGGTGAACGGGAGACCCTTGCCGTTCCCGCTGTGTCCGCGCCTGGAAGAGGACCTACCGTGCCTCGCAGCAGGTGCAAGGGGTAGGGGAGAGCAGCGCTGAGCCATTACGAGTGGAGTGGTATCGGAGCATGCTCGAGGCGTGCCATCACGAGATTGACCGCGAGGAGGACCCTTTGCGCATAGGCCGCGTGGCGCGGGATGCTCTGCTACTCACGTTCCTATGGGAAACAAGTCAGCGAGTGAGGCCGCAGCTGGGGCCGTACACGCGAGACATGATCGTGGACGAGTGGGGCCGACCCATTTGGACACCCGAGACGGGCAAGCGCCCCGTCGAGGGTCCGATTATGTTGGACGTATGGACCTTGAAAACCACGACGGAGTTTCGGCCTGGGCGAGTCGAGATCGACGAACGGCAGGAACTGAGTTTCCTATATTGGTTTTACTTCATGGGAGACAGGCTCGTGCAACACGCGAGAGGGGATGTCCAGATATTACTGCCCACCTGGGATCGCCGCAGTGGGCCACTGAACCAGTCGGTGGATGCCATGGAAGCTACTCGGATTATGTGGTATTGGGCACAACAGATACGCGCGCCAGCGGTGCTGACTTATTACAGTGGCAAGCGAGGGAGTTTGCAGCATCGGCATCACAACTTGGGGCTATCGATGGCTGAGGTAGCCAGCTAAATGCTGTTGCGATCGTTGGATACAGTGGAAGGATATGTGGACCGGGGCAGCGATTGGCGCGGCAGTGGGGAGCCGACCGTGGACTAGGGCAAGAACTACTAGCGAGCGAGCGTGTCGGATCGCGGGACCGGCCTGGCAGCGTGTGGAAGCGGTCGCCTCCAACTAAGCTTCGATTGAGTAGCGAGAGCGTGAGAAGCCCGAAGGAAACAATGAATCCGGGCGAAAGTAAAAAGCATTTAAAACCTTGAGCTACGTACAAACACCCGTACCCGCAGTGCAAGCCCGAAAACTTGGCCGATCGGATGCCGCGCCCCCAAGCTTGAACCGGGGAACAATCTCCTCCCAGCGCCGGTTGATAGTGCGCGGGGCATGGCGGCCAGCGTAGCCGAGTGTCGCCAATCCAAAGGCTCCCGGTCGCAGCGGTGTGCGGTGAAGCGTACAATAGCAAGAGACCAATGAGTAGTGAGCGGCGCAAAAGCGACTCCCTTAATCTAGGAACCATGCGTATCCGTGCTCCTGGAACCAATCGTGGGAGAAAGCATCCACCCCCACGGAGGTGCCGTCGTAGAGACGGGAGAAATACTTCAGGCAGACCGCCGTCGAGGCGGTGGCAAATGCGTCGAGCATAATGGCTGTCCGGTCGATGCCAAATTGGCGGCAGATCCATTGCACCACTATGGGTGTGAAGCCCCAATCATGAGGATCCTCAGGCTTATTGAAGAAGTTTGCCTGTGCTTGCCAAGGTTCTTCCTTGTTCGACCAAACCAGCTCCAGTTCCATGTCATGCTCCCACGCAAGCAGGTGGACTGCTCGAACTATAGGAAGACACTCGTTAACTCCCCACTGATGAGCGATGCAGTAAATGCTAGCCTAACTGTCGGTGTGGTAGAGAAGACAATGTGCCTTCACCGTACCAGGTGTGCAAGTCAGGAGCGTGCGCAAGACGGTGTGAACCGTGAACAGTTCTCGGGCCGTTGAGCTGGCACCGATGAGGTGCGAGGGCAGAGGAATCTGTAGCAGATAAGGGAGGGCCCCATGCAGAAAGAACGCGCCTACGTGCGTGTCGGAAGCGTCCCCTACCATGATGGTCGTCTCGCGAGAGGTAGGCCAGCGTCGTCCCTCCACTTTATGAAAGTTATCACACCACCACTCGAGCTCTTCATGCACCGCTTGAGGTATCGGGAAGATTGCATCCCAAGAGGTCACGCCAACGAGGGAGAGAAACAACCGCCTGGTGAAGAAGGGGCATAGATTGACCGCCATGCTCATCAAGACGATGAGTCCCGCAACGTGGGCTAACTGGCGAGGGGTAATGCTCTCCCCTTCTAACAAACATTGCACCGTTGAGATGAAATAAAGGCGTTTGTCGGAGGGAACGTGAAAGGCCCCCGCTCCCGAGTCCACCTCGAGGCCGAGGAAGTGCTGCACATGTTTGGGCATCCAATCTGCTTTCTTTGATGAGAAAAAAGTGCCCAGTGCCGTCCCTACCAATACCAAGATAAGACCGTCCAGCATGCAAAGCTGCGGAGTGGCGGCCGCTCCGTAGCAGTCATCAATCAGGAAAGCCATCAAGGAGCCGAAGTGTCAAAGAGGCTGATAGAAAGCAGTCTGGATTTGCATGAAGGCGGCATAGGCTGACGCTAAGCCGAAGGGCAAAGTGCATCAGAAGGAGGGTTCGACCCTTCCAATACACGGCTAAGAACAGCCAATCGCACCGCCGCATGCGCAAATGATGGTAGCCTAATTTGAGATTAGTCACAATGGCGTAACATCCGCGATGAGCGAATGCGAGCATGTTAGACAGTTGCTCATATCGCACGGGTTCGTACTGAACGAAATAGTTAACATAACGAAGGTCGATGACTAGGCGCTTCTTGGTGCGCTGAACTACCACTACCAGGGGGTTGACCACCTATACGGGAGCGTGCAGATCAGGATCAAACAGCACTACCATGCCAGTTTCCACCAGACTGCAAATGGTGTTGTTGGTGAAATCCTCATGCGTCATGGCCGATTGGCGATTAGGGAATGCGACGAAGCTAGGGCGAGTGCCGGTCAGATGCCCAAGGACCTGGTCTTGTGGCAACACCCTGGAAAGCATGGCGCGCACCTCTTGCCGCTTGACCTTGAAATGCAGATGGGCTTGCTGGCACTGCGCCTCCGGTTCCACCCAGTCAATTGTGTAGCTATGATGCAGCCAGGTCATTACCCGCGGCCATTGAGGCTAACGGGGAATACTCCGAAGATATTGTGACCAAAGCTCAGCGAAATGATGCCAATTCCCGGCCACGAAGCTGGAGTCATCGAGCAGTATAGAACGAATCTCGGCTATAGACGCCTAGACGTCCTGACACGCTGATGCATCCCGATGCTGCAAATCCTGTAAGAGGCAAAGAGCCCTGTCCAAATACGCTCGGTGGGTCGATGTAGCACCCACTGGGCCCCGTCACGGGGCAGGCAAGGCAAAGGCCATAGACGGATTGGGGAGTTCCTGCGTACTAGAGGGGGATACCGGCTGGAACGCATCAACCACCGGGATGTGCAGATCGAGAGGCGGGAGGCAACTCTCCTCGTCCTCCGGCCCGCTGGGAGCCATT